TAATTAATCATCCGATCTTAGTGGAAGACAAGGTAAAAGTGGTGGGAGAAAGATAACAACAAGAAAAAAAAATTTTTAAGTAAGACATCCTAAAATATACTTCCCGTGGGATTCTGTTTCCCTAGGCAGGAATACCCCTCTCTTGAAAAGTGCTGAAATCCTTAAAATAGTCATTATTTCTCTTCCTCCAGACGTGTGCTGTTTTCCTGACTGAATTCTTGGAATAGCTGCAGTCTCACATGGAAATCAACAGGGCAACAGATCCCAGGGGAAATCCTGAAAGGCTGCACTCAGAAGGGCTTACTACTCTTCTGAGATTCTCCAAGAAAAGGAAGAGGAACTATGTTTCCCCTATGGTTTTTCTTTTCCTAAGTAGGGCATGTAAGAAGGAAGAGAATGTGGACATTATTTTTAGCTCTCACACCTAAAAATAGATCACTGACTTTAATACATACCAGGCTCGGCCGCCTGGAGGGTCCCTGAAAGTTGCTGTAGTGGTTGGAAGTGCTGAGAGGTGCCCATGCCACTACTGTCACCCGGCCCCTCCTGAGACGGTCGTCCGGGCAAGGACACACCAGGGCGAGCACTGCATCGCCGGTGACAAGCACCACTGGCGTGCTGGAAACACAATTGCAAAACGGGTGTGTCTCAGTTAAAGGGATTTCTCTACCTGAGCATCCTCAAGAGCAGGTGTCTGCCTGGGGCCTCCCCGCGTCATCACCGCCCGGAAGAGGTGCCAAAGGACTGAAGACGACAGAAGGCACACGCTACCTACGAGCCAGATGTCTTTTCTTCTGAGTGTTGAGTCCATTCTCTGGGAGCAGCTGTGAAGTCCCTTGACTTATAGGTGCCAGCCCTGCCCCGGTGGACCACAGTCACTTTCCAAGCACTGCCCGTCCCTCCCTGCTCTGAGCTGAGGATGGGCGTCGCCACATAGCAGAGGATTCTCACAGAGCAGAGCAACGGTTGTCTCCAGTTACACCATCCACAGATATTCCGCCTCTTTAAAAGGAAAAGTATGATGGGCTTGTGTGACAGATCCAGAACAGGTGCAGGGGCCGAGGAGACCTCCTGGCCATAATTTATGCCAGCACGCATGCATTTGTCCCCAGTTCAAGGTCTGCTGGCTGCACTGTAATTAGCATTTGCTGCCAAGGCTGGGCCTCTGCCAGGCGGGGAGGTTTCTCCCAGCTTTGCGGGGAGAAGAGCAAAGAAAAGGGCTAGAGAAAAGCAACTTTAAAAATCACAAAACCTCCACCCTCAGCCATGCTATTTTGAGATCTCAGTTGCAGTCATTCTAAAGGCTGCTGATGCACAAGTTTATAGCAGTTGGTCAGGAAATACCATCTGGTATTAAATCCACCCACTGCAATCAAATTAGGGAGCTCCACGCTTTACTCAAACCCACTCTGTCCTTTTGCACATCCTGTTGATAAAGATTTTGTTTGCTTTGGTCTCAAGCTTCAGTACCAGACAGGGAAACATGCCAGGGACAGAGAGGGACTCTTTCCACTAGGGCCATCTTTATCTTCTGTCCCAAGATGGGATATGGAAGAATCTAAGCCTGGTTATAGAAAAGAATTATTCCTTACTAAGGAAGACTTTTAAACACAAAGCAATAAGGATTAGGATAAACTCAGAAATAATCTACTTAGAAATCCTGCTCTTCTTTGAATGGTTTTAATTTCTGTATGTGTGTGTGTTTGATAATAAAGTTATTTTTAAATTTTAAAAATGAGCTTAAATTAAGAAAAAAAAAAAATAAGTCCTGTGAGCATGGCTGGGGAGCATTGACCTGTGAGGACATTTTTTTTTAACTTTTGGGGAAAATGTATTGTCTCTTTGGTTGAAATATGACCAAGACAATGCACTTTTCAGCCTATCAGTATAGACTTTTGTTGAAGAATCACCCACGCTCTGGTGTCCCACAGTTGCTGTCCCTGGGATGATGCCTTTCGGGTGGAGGACAGGTATCCAAGGTGTATACAAAGCCAGGCAAAATCAAGGGGCCGAGAGATTGAGCACATAGCATCTCAGGTATAGAAAGCAGGGTCACGAGCTAGGGGTGTGGCTAGTTGGTAGACTGTTTACCTAGCTCTGGGCTCAATCCCTAGCATCGCAAAAACAAAGCAAGGATGGGTGTCATTCACAGAAGATGGTGAGAAGGAGGCAGAGCCAAGTGGTTGTCTAAGAACATTATGTGGCATCAGTGTCTTTTATTAAGTAGGAGTGTGTGTGTGTGCGTGTGTATGTGTGTGTGAAAGAGATTGCATTAAACCTTAATAAAATACAAAGAAAGAAAAAAAGTGTAACATGTAGTATTTAATAAATTTTAAAAAGAGGAAAAGACAGCTAAAAATAAAGTTAGTGGAGGAAAAATACATGAAATGGAAAAATCTGGCTAAAAAGCAGGAAAAGGAAAATAGTTTGAGTTTTATCCAACTATTTTAACAAATAGAGATTGTTAAATTTGCGTATAATTTTTCTGTTCTTGGGTCTATAGCACTGTCTCTTCTAGAAAGCACTTGCACTTTAAGTGTCTGAAATTCAGAGTAAATTCCTCAGGGCACCCGGGCAATGTTTCTACTGTGATTAGCAGCACTAACCTTCTCAGAGAAGAGATCCAAGAGAAAAGGGGAGAAGGGGAGAAAACTGGCAGCATTTTTTTTTCAGTTCCTGGCGAGGAAAGAGTGGTATTGTAAAGATTTACTGCAGGCCTGGCAGAAGACTGAGACGTGTTAATCCCGCCCGTCTGCAGGGTCTGCATACCTGTGGACACCCGAGCCTCCGGAAGCCCGGCTGCCTGGCTCTGCATGCTGCACCCTAGCCCTAGGACAAGGACAGCTCTGCACCCATCCAACCTCCCCATGGCTGGAGAGAAACTCCCTGCTGACGTCTCTGGGCCCTTCTCCATTTACAAATAAGAAGCTGAATGGGGCCCGTGTCCTCCTCTTCCTCCCTCCTCCCCACAGTAACAACTGCGGCCGGCCGGAAGCCAGAAAGTGATAAAAGAGACAGCAGCCCCCTTTTACGAGGGTTTCTTCAGACTTGACATTTTGTCTTCTCCTGAAATTTTCCTAAAACATAGGTAACTTCCAAATCATTGATTTCTAGCATTCTGGAACAAGTTGAAACTAGAAAAGTAATCCTTCCTAAGAACATTTATGGTCCAACTTACCATTGTCTCGCTCTTTAAAAATGGTTACCTACTTTAAAAATTTTATTGGAGAAAAACCGTACTTGAAAAATAATCAAATTTATATAAATGATCAATTAGCTGATGATTTCAGAGTTATAGGAAGTTATTCAAGAAGGATATTTTGTGTTCTGTGCCCTACAGAAATTCATGAACTGAATGGAAACAAACCTTCTGTTTATTGGTTTAAAATATTAACAGGCCTAGTGAGAAAGTCTTTCATGTCTCACAGATTTTGCCTATGGAAATTTATTCTTTTGCTATATTGAGCAAAATATTAAGTAGCCAGGCACATTAAGTGGTGTGTGCCTATAGTTCCAGGCTCAGGAGGCTGAGGCAAGAGGGTGGCTTCAGTCCAAGAGCTCAGGGCCAATGTGGGTAACAGTGATTCCCCATTTCAAACAAATAAAAGAAAACAAGGAGAAAGAGAAGGACAAGAAGAAGAAGGAGGAGGAGGAGGAGGGGGGAGGGGGGAGGGGAGAAGAATATTAACCCATAGGGAAAGCAAAGGTCTCAAAAAAATCTGTTTCAGCCTGACTCATTTCTTCCCTCCAGCACATTTTATCATTCCTCATTCACGTACAGTGAAATACCTCCTAGGCTTTTTATATGCAGTATCTCCATTTCCTTGTCTACTGTGTTACTAGAAATGCTCTGCTACCTGAGTAGTGTTTTTCAGAGCAGTAGCTGATCTAGGAAGGATGTTTTTCTGAAGCTGCCTAGCAGGAATCACTTGTTCTGATTATTAAAAATGACTCCAGCCCTCAACCAGAATGCAGAATTCACTCCCATCAATCTGTTCCTACCACAGAAATTTCTGCTGCCTATTATATGCCAGTGACTGGGTAAACAAGCGTGTCCACAGAGACAGGTAACACGAGGTCCTGGCCCACAGGCGCAGGTCTAGGGAGGGGATAAATACATGAAGGACCATTGTTTGGGCTGGAAGAAAGGCACAGGCAAAGTGTGGCTCAGCGATGCTGAGCGGGAGCTGGGGAGGGAGCTGCTGCCACTGCTGAGGGCTCCCACTGACTGAATGCTCACCTTGGCCCAGAGGTGTAGCTCAGCGGGGCAGCGCGTTTTTAGCATGCTCCAGGCCATTCACTCCCCAGCCCATCCAAAGAAAGAAAAGGAAAAACATGCTTCGTAGGACAACAGGCACTGTGCTGCAGCCATCATCGCGTTATTCAGATACGGCAGCCCCTTGGTTGAACTGAGTGACCCTGGAAGAACACACCGCTGACATGGGCTCAGCACCCTCATTCTGCACAGTGGAGGACACAGGGTCAGTGAGTCCTGCCTGTCTCTCCTCTGGATTTCACTTCCAATAGCTCCACCCTGGGGAGCTCAAGGTCTTCAGAAAATTAGAAACCTCTGAAGAACAACTGTACCCCTCATAGTGCTTCTCTGGATTTCAAGTCCAAATCCATCATTTTAAAGGACTCTTCTTCAAACAGCACCATAGTTTGGAGGTGCTAGGGATGGAACCCAGGGTGACAAAGGCTCTACACCCCTACCTCCACAACTCCCTTGGTAACTCCTAAGCCTCTAGTTTCACGGTGGAGCCACCTACAGGGACAAGGGCACAATCAAGGCCTCCTAACTGCTAACCCAACCCAACTGAATAGTTTACCCACAATGCTCAGTGGAACAAAGTGGAATTTATCTTGTCACGCAGCTTCTTTAATTCTACCCACCAGTGACAAAATAGAACCTAGAAAGGGTCAGAGAAATGGCTTCTTGGTATTAGAAAAGACAAGGTAGAACTGACACTTTTTAGGAGACTAGGTCAGCATATAATTACCCCATTCTTTCCAGATCTTGAATCCAGTCCGCTGGCATTTTCTTCCAGAAAGCATTTCACTTTCTCTACCTCTTCCATGCACTGGAAAAATGTCATTTCCTCCAGCCTGTTGCTGCTGTAGCTCGTGTTAATTTCTTCTAGCTGCTTCACTTTCAGCATCTTGGTGCTGAGTCCAATTAGGCTGCTCTCTGGCGTGTGGTTTTTGTTTCCCTCTGTCTCCGATTTGTAAATCAAGACACAATCGTGGCTTTTCAGTGTTCCGTTCTCTTGGCTGTAAAGAAATGAGACCAGGAGCATTCTCATCACTCATTCACATACCAACATCTTAAAGAAATGGTCAGTGAGGGTTGGGAATTAATTTCTGTTTAAATAGAAGAAATAAAGAAATGCTAATGTTTATATTGAGTTTCCATTGCTAGAACTTTTTTCTTCTGGTGGCACTGGAAAGGGCACCCCAGGGCCTTTATACTGAGCTACATCCCAGACCTTTTTATTTTCTATTTTGAGGCAGGGTCTCGCTAAGTTGCTACATTTCCCAGACTGGACTCAAACTTGTCATGCTCCTGCCTCAGCCTCCCAGAGTGTTGGGATTACAGGTGTGCGCCTCTGCACCCAGCTGGACGTTTTAAACCGAATCATTATTTTCACTTTTTCCTACAAAAGAAACAGTAAAAAGCAGTCTTGAGTTCCACTGGGTGATTGTATATCTCTCTCACTGCATAAAATAGGATGCATACTGTGAGAGAAGAAAATCTACCACCTCAAATACATTTCTTTGTTATTCAGAGAAACTGCAAACCTCCACAGATACAAGAGTGGCTATGAAAAGACATCCTTTCACTAAAAGCACAAGGGATATCAACAAATACGGTGATGTTTCAATAACAAAATTATCACAGACAAAGACACATTGCCATGAATCCCTCTCAAAATCCTCCCTTCAGTTAAGCACACTTATTGCTCTTCCCACTTTCTGAAGCATTCTGGTAGTCCTCTTTCATGAGTGTCTTTACAAGATGTGATCAAAAATACCATGAATGTGCTTGCCATGTGCCATCCAACAGAACAGCAGGCTTGTGAAAACATTATGGGGCGTTCTCTTTCACCTTACTCACTGGATCTAGCACTGTGAAACTTCTAGCTCCTCCAGAAGTCAAAATGGCCATTGAAGGTAAATGGTTTAAGTCAATTCAGAATATTCAGTGCAACTAAACACATAAAGGAGGACTTCCAGAACTGCTTCAGAAAGGGGAAAGAACAATGGGTTAAGTGTGTTTGAAGAGATGGGGAGGATTTGGGGAGAATGAATAGCAATGTGTCTCTTACTGTAATCATTTTTTAAATTTAAATATTCACCTTATTTTTCAATTGCATCTCATAATTTACATTTATCTATGTTAGTTAATAGTAAGTGCAGACAGATCATTTCTACCTGACATCTCTCCTCTCTGCCTAGGGAAGATCTATTAACAGGGAGAAAATAAGGAAGGTCCAACCTGTGGCCCAGGCAGAGAAAACTGCAGGTGGCTGTTACCTGGGAGCCTCTTTCTGCATCACATGACAACCCTGATGCTAGGCAAGTACTCTACCAAGGGGCTACGCTCCAGCCTCTCTGCCTACATCCTAAAATGATTGTGATTTGTCTTATAAAAGCCCTCTCATGTGGAGACATTTGCATCTTCATTAACAGCTACTACTGAAGAGTTCAGAGTCCTTGTGCTTTCTTTGAGATACTTCCATGAAAATTAAGTAATGCACCTACTACATAGCTCTGCTTTGATTCTAACCCAATCATATGTAAGTATTTATACATCCCTTGGTTATAAAGAGGGAGTGAGATAAAGAATTATTTGAATTTATGGTAGCTTCCCATGGCTTACGCCTGAGGCCCCCTACTGGAAACTGTCTGAAAATTGTTTCTTCAAGCTTTTTCTTGATTTAAAAATTATCTTTATTTCTAACCATGAAACTTCATTTTTCATTTTCACAGCTCATTTAGTAAAATAATACAATTCCAACATATATTTTAAATCCAGTGCTCTACAAAATTCTACATACCACCTAAAGAGTCAAAAAATCAAAATGCAAACACCATGAATTAGAGCTCTACAGATATATTATAGGTCATTATCGGCATTCTCAAAATCTTCCTTGGGAAAAATTCATTATTAACAGAAGAAAACATATGCATGGCTGTTCTCAGCCAAACTATGACTAAAATACAACATTTAATTACAGATAGTACTAAAGCTGGATTAGGAAGCCACATACAGATTAACACATGAAAACAAATCTCAGGTCTATAATATAATCATTATGCAAAGAAATGTTAAACACTAAACTCTACCTGAAGTTTGGCACATAGGAAGAAAAGAGATTTGAGAAGTTATAACAATAAATAAAAATAATTACCATTTATAGGAGGACATCATAGAATTTGAACCACTCCAAGCATAGTTGTAAGTTCCAGTAGATAAAAGGAAATTTTGCAGAATTCAAGCTGACCACACAGGTCTCTGGTAAAAGTCTTTACTCTCGGTCAGTAGAGTCCTTCTGCAAAGACAAGTGTCAACTACAAGAGGAAGTGTCTTCTCTCTCAAATGCCACCTGGAGCCCCTGTTTAAACTAATATGGTCCTTGATCTCATGTTGCTCAGCTGTTGCCATCTTAGCCAGATGGAGAAGAATATTAATTTTAGACACAGACTTTTCAAGGCCCATGTCTCCATTTCAGAGGTCAGGTAAGGAGGGGACCAGCTGGGAACACTGGATGAAATATCACCTTCACCTTTCCCTCTCATCAGTGTGGCAATACTCTCAGAATTACAAAGCTGGATTTGTCCACAGCAATCATATATCCCTTTCAGACTCATGATTATCTAAGTACTTGTTCCCAGCTGGCAAGATGCGAGGTGTGGGAACCCCACAGCTATGTGCAACTATGAGCACACCCTGCTGTGATATGGGGTCTCCTGAAAACATTTGGCAGCTTTGTTTTAATTTTCTCAGTCCTTAAAGGTACATGCAATGTCTCTGTTTATAGCTCTAGGGAAAGGTCAAAGGCACAGGCATCCATGTGGGTACAAAGAACCGGGTTGAATTTTTCTTACCTCTCTTCCTAACAACGCTATGACTGTCTCCCGGTTTTCTACCACAGACCAAGAAAAAGGAGTCTGTGCAAAACAGTTACCTGCCAGATTCTCCCAGTGCTGCATTCCTGGATTCATTTAAGCGGCATAAAACCCTGATTCCCTAGAAACTAGAATTGGTATTTCAGGCAATCGTGCAGTTCTTCAGAGCCAGCCAGTTGTCACCTCTTTGCAGCCTTTGCCAACTCCCTTACACTCCATCCCAGCGCTAGCCTCCTATGCCCTTGGTTGTTTTACCCTTTTGTTTTAATTCAGATCAGTGTGTTTCATATAAAAATAGATGTTTTCCATCTTAAGTAACATTTAAAGAGTTACAGCAGAATATTTTTTAAAAATAGAACTATTGGCACTTTTCTAGGATTAAAGAACTTCGCTCTTCAGGAAGAGTAACTAAGCAGAGGTACATATTTCTAAAAGATAAATCATTCCACAAAATTATTATGAAAAGACTGTGCTGATTTGAGGTTACCAGTTTTTACAACTGTTACAATTTGAGGTTACAGTTTTGCAGGTCTGTAAAAGTGCTAGTAAGGTGACAAGTGCCCCCATCAGAGGAAAGGTGTACACGGACACATCCTCCACTCAGATCATCAAAATGATAAAGTCAGATTTTCCACCCCCTTGGCTCCAGAAAACTAGTCACAAGCTCCAGAGTCCAGTAGAATTGCCTCCTTCGCTATTTTTTAATAAACTTTTTAAATAAACTTCCCTTGGAGTGCTTTTAGATCTACAGAAAAGGTAGTTGAGAGAATTCAAGGTACTGTATGTCCTTCAGAGAGTTCCCCCACTCCCCCTATTTTCAGCATCTTACGTGGATATGCTAAATTTGTTACCATTGATGAACCAATGTTGATACATTACTATCAACTAAGCATAATACCTCATTTTCCTGGGTTTTTCCCCCCTAACATCCTTTTTATAATCCAGAATCCTATGCAAGCACCCACATTATATTCAGAATCAATAGGATTTATGATGGATTGCACTTGGAGTATGAAAAAAAGACAGTAGACAAAGATGGTATACAAATTTCTTCCTGAGTGCTTGAAAGATAGAGTTGGTGTAAACTGAGACGGAGAAGACCATGAGAGGAGCCAGTCTGGGGAGAAAGGGCAGGAGCTCAGTTTTTGACAAGCCCATTAAATGTTCAAGTAGAATAAGTAGTGGAAATAGAAATCTGGAGTTAGGGGAGGGCTTGCAAGCATGCAATAAATATTTGTTGATTAATTACTAGACAGAATGATCTTTGATTGTATCTACTTGTCTTAAAAAAGAAAACTCAACCCGAGTTCAATCACCGGTACAAAAAAAAAAAAAGAAAAAGAAAACTCAATGGAAAGAATCCATTCTGCTCAACTTCTAAAATTTGGTGACAATGGTCTAGTTCCATATGTTGCTCTGTTCTCTGCTACTGATGGCTTAAAGAACAAGTTGCCTGGTATAATACCTGACCACACACACACACAAAAAAAAAATTACATGCATGCTCATTTTGTTCTATTTGCCTAGCTTCAGGACCCTACGTCCATACCAATAAAATATTCTGAATGCCCTAAAGATGGCCATATGTTCAGAAAGTTTTATAGTAAGACTATGAGCAGGCTCAGTAATATATTTCTAGTATTTCCATGGTATTTCAGTTATATGTCTTTTAAAAATACTAGCATAAGGAAAATAGCTTCCCACAGAGCCATGAAAAAGAATCCTTTAATTCTTTTCAACGCATGTTTCCATTAGCTGATCCAGGGGCTGGGCCATCTGAAGAGCCTCAGCGACAGGCACTACTGACACTCGTCGTTTGGAATTCAAACCAAGCTGGATAATGCTAATACTTGCTGCTTATGCACAGCTTTCTGAGTGTTTCCAGAACAACAAGGCCTCATCTACACAAAGAAGTGGAGCAACCGTCTCAGATACCAAAATGCAAATGAAAGGCTACGGTTTCCCGTTACCCAGGCTATAACTGAATTTTCTCCCTTTTATAAAGGAACATTGAGTATGACATATAAAAGCAAAAAATTGATCAGCTGCACTTCATCAAAATTCAAAATGTTTGCTGTTAAAAAGACACCATTAGAAAAATAAAAAGACCAGCTACAGACTTGGAGAAAAATCATACATTTGATAAAGGACTTCTATCTCAAATATATGGTGAAATTATAAATTCAATAATAATGCAATAATAAGATGACAAACATACCAATTTTTAAAATGAACAAAAGATTTGAATAGACATCTTACCACAGAAGATACACAATGGTTACTAAGCATATAATATAAATGCTGAAAACCAGTCATCAGGGAGATGCAAAATGAAACTCTCATGAAATAATATTTCACACCCACTAGAAAAAAAGAGAAAAACAAATGTTGAGGGGAATATGGAGAAATTAGAGCCATCATCAGACAAGTTGATGGGGACATAAAAAGTGTAGGTGTTTTGAGATAATATGGCCTTGTCGTTTTTCTCCTGGGAATCTCCCCAAGAGAAATAAAAACATAGAAGCATTATTCACAATAGCAAAAACTTGGAAACAATTCAAATGTCCATCAGTTAGTTTGGTGAGTGGGAAAACATAATGCAGCCTATCCATACAAATGAAATACTGCTCAGCAATCAGAAGGAATGAAATACTGAGGCAGGAGGTAGAAAGGAGAAATTCCTGGAAGGAGGGGGCTGGAAGGTCAATGGGAAAGAGGAAGCTGACTCTCTAAAACCCACAGAGGCTGCCCAGTTCTGACAGCTGGACCACAGCAGGGAAAGACAAGAGGCACATGCACTAAGGCTTCTGGTAGGCCAAGAAAAACTCTCTAGAAACCACAAAGAGCACTCACTTCTAACAACTAAGCCATGCCTGGGAACACAGGCACTAGAGAATATCCTCAACGGCTGATAGTGACCCAGCACAAATATAATTAACTATAATCTCATTTACATTTTGGTTTTGACGCTACCACCACCACCACCCCACTATCTCCCCCCAGCTTTGGGTGCCATGATGGTTCCTCAAAGGTCCATGTAGGGACAAATCCCCTCCAACAGAAAGGAGGAGGTTTGTCTCTGACTGAAGTGAATTGCTGCCCCAGTCCAAAGAGCTAATTTCTCCCTGTGAAAACCACACTCTGGCTCTGACACCTGGGTTCTTTGAGGCCCTGAGCTCTTTTCACTGGCCTGCTCCCACCCTGAGGTGCAGAGCCCGGCTAATAAATCTATGCTTTCCCTTCTACTTCTGTGTGTCCTGCTCAATTCTTTGTTCAGGATGTCAAGAACCTAGGACAGTTACTATCCCTAACAATAACCGTTGCTACAATATGAATGAACCAAAATCTTGTGCTAACTGAAAAAGCCTGAAATGAAGAGAAGCTGTATGATTCCATTTGTGTGAAATGTTGGAAAAAGGCAAGTTTCTGCAGACATGAAGTAGATTGGTGGTTGCCTGGAGCTGGGAGTAGGAACAAGCATAAACTATGAACAGAATCTTATTGTATGAGGTTTGATGGTCATGATTATGAACTATCTTAAAACATTACTAAATTGTACACTTAAGATGGGTGAACTTTCTTCTCTGCAAATTATACTTCAGTAATGTCACTTAATAGCGTGACTAATAAAAAAATAAGCATGTTAGAAAAAGGGGGGAAGTGCTACTGAGCAGTTTGTGGCCAACTGTTCCAGGTGACCACGGCTGGGATTCAGGGAGATAAATTACATTCTGCACTTACCGGGTTACCTGGGGCCAAAGATAAGAAAAGAAAATGATAAAGTGGGAGAAAATCAAGATTCAAGCACTTTTCTTTGGGTGCAAATACCACCTATGACTGAGCAATTAGTAAGAAAATGAATGGTAATTTAATATAACTTCTAAGTCTTATTATCTCTTTAGAGATTGAATAATCTGCACAAGAGAATAATGCTGCTACTGAATGTCCAGGTTTGTTTACAACCCCATTTGACATTAGACCCTTCACATTACCAAGTGACAGTGAGTAAGTAGCTAAATATTGCATAATAAAAAATGAGGCATATAAAATTCCCATGCAGGCTGAGGGTGTAGTTCAGTGGAGGACCTCATGCCTACCATGCCTGAGGCCCTGGGTTCAATCCCCAGCAATTCAAAAAAATCAATGAACAAACTCCTATGTGCTTTTTCCTGTTTAAAAAAATGAAAATAGGGCCAGGGATTTAGCTCAGTGGTTCTGCCACCTGCCTGGCAAGCACAAGGACCCAAGTTCAATCCCCGGTACCAAAAAAACCCCCCAAAAACGAAACAAAAAAACACACAAGAATGAAAATAACATGGAAAGTTTTAAAAACCTATGTGAAAATATGGATACAAATATTTAAAAATTAATCTCTTCCAAAATTGTTGAATGTTTTAGTTCACTATTTCATAGCAGTTGCATTTTTTGTTCTTCTATATCCCTTTTTACTTTTATAGAATGTAAATACATGTCACTAAGTTTAAAAATAATACATGATGTTACAATGGGTACAAAGTACATATGCAAATTCTACTCATAACTAAATTTGCAAATACATTTCCAAAGCTCACAGATGATTTTTATATCATTTTTGTTAAATGCTTCTTTTCCCCATTTTTTCAGCATGTAGTTTCGTAGCAGTACACTTGCCTAGCATGCATGAGGCCTGGGGTTCAATTCCTAACAGCAAAAACTAAAATAAAATAAAGGTAAGCTTAAAAATTTTAAATTTAAATCTCACAGAATTTGCAAGAATAGTACAATGAATATTACACATATACTTTTTACCTCAATTTACCTAATGTATTTTCCATATTTACTAGCTCTCCTTTTTCTGAAAGTTACGGATTTTATGAAACTAGATCCCTAAATGCATGAGCATGTCTTCTGAGAGCAAAGACACTTTGTCATTCAACAAGATCCAGTCAAAATTCATACTGTGCATGTAATTATCACATCTTTTAAAAAATCTTCTTTTATCTGTTTAAGGACCAGCAACTCCCATCTTTTTTTCTTTTACTCTTCATGACATTGATATTTTTAGAAATTCCAGACAAAGTACATCATAAAATATCTCGCAACTAGGGCTGGGGATTTAGCTCAGTGGTTCTGCCACCTGCCTCACAAGCGGAAGGACCAGAGTTTGATCCCCGGTACCAAAAAAAAAAAAAAATCTCTCAACTTGAATTGCCTGATGTGTTGTCATGTTTGGAATCCCATTATATCTGTGGCAAGAAGATCACCATGCAAGTGATGCTGTATTTTTCTTGGAACATCATAACAGGTAGCACAGATGGCAACTTGTGTCACTATTACTGATGCTAAATTTGATGATCTGATTACAGCGGTGTTCGTCAGATTTCAGCAATAAAAAGTGATAAATAAGTTGGGGCAATTGGTGGATATTGTGTTCTCCCACAATCTATTGTCCTATGTTTTTAGTATCTATTCTTGCCTGAATCAATTACTATCACAGCAATTGGTGAAATGATGGTTTTCTAATTCTATTATTATTTATTACTTATTAAATGCATTTTTCTATAAGGCAGAGCTCTCCATCCTTACCCCAAGCCTTTTTTAGTATCAATATGAAGTCATGGATTTTTTTAAATGACTACTCCCTATGTTTCTCATTTTTATGCTCAAATTGTCCCAGATTTGGCTAACGGGAGCACCTCCCAGCTAGCTCCTATGTACTTTTGACATACCACTATTTTTCAGTATTTTCTTTTTATATTCTTTCTGGAATCTGCCATTTCTTTTTAGAGAAAAATCAAGACCTGAGCACAAGAGTGCTCTTTGCCACCAGGATGTCATTGCTTCTAGTCCCTTCAGAGGAGAGAGCTAGAAAATATCTATTTTTAAATCATAAGTTCATACTCACATATTTCCAGTTCCACCTGAAGACCACAGGATTCTTTCTGCCCTTCTCCCCATACCCCTCATGTGTCTCTCCCCCATTGATTCTTTAGGCCTAAAAATGCAAGAACAAAATAAAATGCTTGCTACACTTTAAGATCCGTGATACTCTTGGGACTATCCACTCTACACAACTGCAGAAAGGCAAAAATGGCTTATTCCCGATTTGTAAAAATCCCATCCTACAGCATGAATCATCATTTTCTACTTTTAGGAACTGGAAGAAGAATATATTTACATTCTTGGAGAGGCTTTTCTATTTTCTAAATTGGAAAAGGATTTTAGGAGCTAGGAGAAGCTTATGATAGCAACAAGGCATGAAATTACAGAAGTGCAAAGCTCAACTCATGCTGTTCTGATCAAATGTTGGCCTGCATCTCAGGAGGGTGAGGTTCAGAGGAAAATTTTCCACAGAGAAATACACTGCAGTAGGGGGCAAATTAGGGAGCTGTGTGAAAACTTCCCCCCATCCACACACACACACACTGGTATGTGTTATCTACTACGAAAGGTAAAAATGCTGTATTCTTAGGTAGGTAATAAATTGGTCTGTTATGCAGTGGTTCATAATAAGTTGTTAGCTTTTCTCTATGCTGAAGAATATTGAAGAACTTGGGATGCAAATGGACACTGCCATTGCTAAAACGGTGAAAGGCATTTCAAGTCCCAGCTCTTTTGTACAGAAAGTACTTTCAGTGTGTCCCAAGAAGCCCATTGAGAGGGGACGTGGATGGCATTCCCATGTACCTGACAGGAATGCACATCATGTCTAATCTTTATGGAAGGCAACTTGGACACTCCAACTGCATTTCTAAAAGTTTGACATCAAAGAAATACAGTTGTATCAAAATATCTTTAAAGATATCATCATGATATTGTTATATTTTAAACATTTAAATAGAACCTAAGTACAAGTTAATTAAATAGATACGGCACTGCCATATAAAAGAATGTGGTGCTCATTAGTCATGAGTAAAAGGATATTTCACAACATGAGGGAAAAAATTAATGTTATAACTGGGGAGAAGGGAGCAAATAAACTATTATTTGCACCAGGCTCCCAGTTTTGACTAAAAAGCAAGATACACTCAATATATATTAGCTATATCCACTCAATATATACGATAATATAGAGAGATACATAGAAAAATGTCACATGGATTGTTATACCAAATATGTTTTGTGCTTTTCCAGAGCTATAATTTTTCTAAAATGAAAATTTATTTCATTTTTAATCTGAAGAAATTGCCAGTAAAACAAATTTGTAAATGTCATGATGGGGAGACTAGCCTAGTAGGAAACTCAAGAGCATTAGAGACAGAGAGCCACAATTTAAACTTGAGATTTACTAGCAGTGTAGACTCAGAACAGTTGGTAACTCAGTCTTCCTGAGCCTCGGCTTTCCTCATCTTTACAAGAGGATGCTAACATTTACTTTAGAGTAGATGAGAGTAGGAAGTGAAGTAAAAATGAGGGCTGCATCTGAGAGACTTGATAAATGGCAGCTTTATAGTTATTACTGGTACTATTATTGTCAGTTATTGTTATCAAATCTCACAGAAAATGAAAGGTTAACGGCTGAAAACTTTAAAGAGGAAAAATATTCCTGAGTATCTCAATTTTCTTAATCCATAATGCAAGGCCACTTACTGTTAAAATATTTTTTCTTCCTTTGGGGTTTATACTTATGGAAAATACATAAAACTCTAAACATGGTTTGAGATTATTTGAACCGCTCCTAAAGCAACCACCAGATTACAAACTAGAATCCAGCAACCCCAAATCCAACTCTCGGTCCTCCCTCTTCCATTAATTACCAATCTGAATGTTTTACAATAATTTCCTTAATTTTGTTTGCAGTTTTACCACTTACATGTGCTCTTTAAATGTACAGCTTTGTTTCACCAGTTTGAGATTAATGCACTTATACTGTTTGGATTATTTTGTGTTTCTTTTGTTCAGTCAAAATTCTTTGATTTATCATATTCATATGACTGTTAATTTTCCCTGTGTAGTATCCCATTGTATCAATATTACAAAATACATGCATTTATTCTACTATTGCTGAACATTTTGGTTGCTTTCAGTTTGGAGCTGCTGTGAAAATTACTGTGCATGCAAGATATACATTTAAATATACACACCAGTATATACTCCTCTACCAGCAACGTGGGAATGGTTCTATTGATCTATATTTTAATAACACTTAACTTTTGCTAATCTAGTGGGTGTGCAATGATTTATCATTTTTAATTTAAATTTTATTTCTCTAATTACTGGGGGTTGAGAAACAGTCTTTGTTTCTTATGAAGTATCATTTTTGATAAGATTTCTATCATTTTTATCACTACATAGATTTTTATATATTCTTAGTATTACACTTGATAGAAATGTATGCGCAGATGCCTTCTTCTCTGTCCCTTATATTTTTACTATTTTTTTGTGATATTTTCTGATAGAAAAATAGAAGCTCTTTTCTATGTAGTAAAATATATTAATCTTTTCCTTCACGGTTAGGGATTTTTTGTTATTGTATTTTTGAAGAAGCCTCTCCCTCTTTTCTACTCTGAAATCATAAAGGAATTCTCCTGTAATATTTTCTAAATACCTTATAGGAGGAGACTATATAATTTATTAGGGTATAAAGTGGATCTAATTTTATTTTATTTTTTTGTGTATTCTCCCAACATCACTATATCTGTCAGTTTTAACATCACTGGGACAAAATACCTGATACCTACAACACAAAAGAGGAAAGGTTTATTTGGCTCACAGTTTCAGAGGTTCAGTCCATGGTTAGCTAGCTCCATGGCAGAAGGGCCTAGTGGAGGAAAGCAGCTCACCCCATGGCAGCCCAGAAGTAGAGAGAGGGAAAAGGCTGGAATGAGAGATCTACCCTCCAAAGGTCAGCCTCCAGTGGCCCACTTCCTCCAACTCAGCCCTACCTCCTAATAGCACATTCATTGAAGAACTCATGGATGGATTAATCCACTGGTGAGTATAGTGTTTCCATGATCCAATCACCTTTTGAAACCTCCACCTCTGAACACATAAAGCCTTGTGGAAACATTTTAGATCTAAATCATAACAATCACTTATTGGAAAATTTGTTATTTTCTCACTAATTTTCAAGACTACCTACTTCATATATTAACTATTCATGTTTGTTTCTGGGCTGTATTTTTTGTTCTAATATCTATTTGCCTATCCTCATGTTGGTATTGCAGAATCTTACCTCCTATTGTCTTTTTTTAAACTACATCATCCAGCTTGTTCAGAAGTGCTTTGGATATTCCTGGCATATTTAAACCCTTTTTAGAATCAGTTTGTCAAGTTATACACACACATACACACATACAGGGCACATGTGTGCATACAGTACACACACACACACACACAGGGCACATGTGTGCATACAGTACACACACACCTATGAAACACAGACTGGCATCACATTGAATTTGTACATGAGTACGGAAAGAATTTACATCTTTGTATTTTCAGATCAGCAAATTGGCATATCATTCCATTGATTCAGGTCTTTACTTTTTGTAAGATTATACAATTATCTTTATAGAGATCTTTCACATCTTTTAACAGATTTATTCCTATCTATATTTTCGATGCTGTTCAATGTTCTGTTTTTAAATTGCCCTTTCTGTCTCTTCCTATACACAATACTAAGCATTGTAAGCAGAAAACTTGCTAAGCTGTTGTCAGTTCAAACAGTTTATCTTTACATAATTTTTATTTTCTGTGTACACAATCATATAACCTACAGATATAGACAGTTCTTATTTCCTTTCCAACTCTCATGCCATTTATTTCTTTTTCTCATGGTATAGGGCTTTTAGTACATGTTTACTAGAAATGCTACAATATCTAATTTTATTAACATTTAATTTTATTAATAACATAATATTGCTAGTCTTTTTAAATTTCAGTCATTCTAGTCAGAGTGTGGTAGAATCTAATTGTGGCTTTGATTTCCTTGTGCATTTTCAATTGGATTTTTGGATATCTTCTTTCCAAAGTATTCTTTTTTTGTCTTTTGCCCATTTGCAAACTGTTTCAGTTTATTATTGAGTGATAAGGATTCTTTACATATTCTAGACACAAGTTCAGTGCATATGGATGTATTGAAAATGGTTTTTTCCAGTCTGTAGACTGTACTTTCATTTTCCTAAAGATGTCTTTTTAAAAGCAGATGTTTTCAAGTTCTGATGAAGTCAAATTTCTTCTCCTACCCATTAGTGCTACTTGTGTCCTAAGGAGTTATCGACCCCAAAGTTGTGCAGGTAGTCTAAGTTGGTTTGTAGAAATTCTCCAGTATTAGATTGAGGCCTGCGATCCATTTGGAATTCATTTTTTCATGTGCAATACAGCAGACACCAAGTTTCACTTTTTGTCTGCTGGGTATTCCAATTTTGACAGCTCCAGGTATTGATCTCCATATAAATTCCACACCTTATTAACAACATCTCTAAAATTCTTTAAGCTGTTCCTGTTCTACCAAGGAGTCACTCTGCAGCTCCCAAGATATCCTGTATGTATTTCTGGGAATTCCTCAGAGTTCTTTGAATGTGCCACCAACCCTTCTGTTGACAGCAGCCCTGTGTCTGTAGGCCTGTGCTGCCTGCATTCAGAGAACAACAATGCTCAAGGTCTTCTGTGAAGAAGCCTGACTCTGGCATGCTAAGGTTGTGTTGGTAGTGCTTCTGGGTATGTGCTGCCCATCCTCTGGGTCAGAGCAGAGCTGGGGAAGACTCTTCCAGATCCTGAAGCAATAGCAATATGCCCAGGATCACCAGTTTTCTGTGAATGGCTTGCTCATCTTCTGGTCTTCAGCCTTCCCACCACTGGGCTTCAAATCCAGTTCAGTGAAGGAAAAGAAAACAGATGCAATGGCCTATCCTCAACCTCCTTTTCTTCTCTCAACCAAAAAGCCATCTCTCCTCAAAGCAATCCAGTTTTTCCTCCCTCTGGCAACTTTATTCTTTCTAGAGGACCATTTTATCACATTTGTCAAAAAGTGGGGTTTTTTTCCTCTTTGTAGATTTAATCTATTTAATCAGCAGAGATTCTTTATCTAACGCTTCATCTAACTCTCCCTGGATCAAAAGCCCCTCTCAGATGTTCTCCCAGAAGAAACAGAATGTTCCCAGTATGAGCCTCGGGAGAACCGAGTTAAGCCTGCACTTGAGACCTGCTCAGTCATTTTCACGCTCTGGTTCCATTTGAGAACATGCCCACTACGTGCCAGGTACAATGCCTGGCACTGAGAGAAGATGACGAACTTTGTCCTCTAAGAGAGGTTGGCAAGGGGAGTGGAAAAAGGCATGGAAAGTGGCAACAAGAATACTGCAAGGTAATTGTTATGTGGGACGGACAAACTGTCACATAGCATATGGCAAAGGGGACCAAGCCAGCCAGGGTGGGTCAGGGAAGGCTAATGGAACATATCTACACTGCAATGTGACTAATATTCTAGACATTATGGGGGGCTGGGAAGATACTCTGGGGTAAGGAAGCAAGATGAATAAGGGTGGGAAGTGAATAAGAATATAAAAACCTTCTTGAGTGTTTCTTACCATTAAACACAACGGCTGCTGGTTGAGGAGAAAAGTCATATACAGGCTATAGCTTTCCTAACTAAATTAGGTTTTTTTAAGTCAGGGATTAGGGAATTTTATAAAAAATCTCTTCACAGTCTAGTTTATAAGAGAAAGAGAACTGCTTTCACTAATAATGTGACAGTGCCCATCTTAGAATGAAAGAGGTGTAAGTATTATTCTGACACCAGCTGGGTGTCCTGCAATTCAATTCTGACACTAAAATACTCAGACTTAGTTCAGATCCTACTGGTTGAGAGCAACATCCTCTACTCAATGGCTCCCACTTTAGACCCAGCCAAGCTTCAGGGGCCAGCTGTACTTCTAACTGATTGGCTATAAACGTGGGGGTTCCACAAGCCCCTCGTTTGATAATTCAGTAGACTAGCTTATGAAGTCGCCGAAAGCACTATGTTAAAATGATTAGTTTTATTGTAAAGGAGATGCACTGGTGAGTGTGAGGGCTTGTGACAAAATACTTGGGACAATCAATTTTAAAAAAGAGGAAAGGTTTATTTTGGCTCATGGTTGTATAGCTTTTAGTCCATGGTTGGTTGTCCCCACTGCCTTGGGCCCTGTAGCGAGACTACATCATGATGAGGCAGGATAGGAAAAATAAGATAGGTAAAACAGAGACAAGAAATATTATCATTTAAAAATTGTACTTTTAATAAAAACTGCAGGTTCAGAACACCAATCCAGTAAAAAAAAACTCCTAAGGTCTTTAAAGACACAGTAAGCCTTGGCCATTTCCTTTTACCTACAAATGGGCCTTTCCCTACAGATGGGCCACAGCTCTACCACCTGTGATGGCTGTCACCTACAAATAGGCCGGCACCTTTCCTCTGCAGAAAGAGCTGTCACCTTTCATCTGTAAACCAAATGCCCTCTTTTCATAATTCACAAGTTCTACAGATTTTCACCCCCAAATCCCCATAAATATACCCAGCTAAGCCAATAAGCGTCCACCCACTCTATTTCTTTGAGTGTCTATTTAAAATTCTACATAATAAATCCCTTTATATCTCTTACTGATGCATCCTGAATTTTGTGTGTGTGTGTGTGTGTGTGTGTGTGTGTCTGATGGAAGCCAGCAATCCTGAAACCTGTCCCATGGTGGATGGAGTCAAGGTTTCCCCTCACCACTTTGGGGACTTCCTTGGACCCTGTCCAATGACAATGGCAGGGGCACATAGTAGTGGAAGCTGCTCACTTTATAGCAGCTGGGAAGCTGTAGCAACCCTAAGGAAAAATAAGACATTGCCCCTTTGCCTTCTCAAGACTCTTGCCAACTCTAGGTGACATTGTAAGTGTGCCTACACCATTGCCAGGATGAGTATTATCTAAATGGCACTGGGAACAGGCCAAACTAGAGTTATCTGTAAAGAGAATGTACCTTCCCACTTTCCTTAGAATGCCGGTAATACACTGGAACAAAGCCATGTAATGATGTTACTGCTTATATAGTTCAACTTATAAAACCTTCCTCCCTGCAGTAACTTGGGGAAGAACAGATCACAGGGGAGTCCAATAGTCCAACTGGCCACCACTGGATACTGTGAGTACCTTCTAGCAATTTCCTTCTCCACCCCGTCACCATTCGATCTCCTGATGGCCTCATGTTCAGGCCTTCATCACTGGACCTTGTAGGCAATATTCTATCCAGCCTGTCACCACTGGACCCTCTTCTGTTAGTGAGTCTCAATCTACCTATCCTATTTTTTCCTGTGAATTCCTGTTAGGAAGTCTCAACAAGTCTTATGTCTTACGTGCCATCTTCAGGTGTTTTCTTCAGTCTCTCAGCAACCTACTGCCTAGCACAGATGATCTGTAGACCTAAAGGAAACAAAAGAGACAGGCACTGGTGTTCCAGAATATCTTCCAAAGGCACATCCTCAACGACCATCCCCTAACACATGGGCCTTTGAGGAGACAGTCAAGATCCAAACTACAAGAGTGAGGTCCAGGAGGGTCCCAGACAGGGAGCTCCATGCCCGTTCTTCCTAGATCCAGACATGCCCAAGATCTGTGCTCACAAGCAGGAGGCTCCACTGAGCTTCAGAATCCAGAGACTTTACTGAAGGCTCAACATCATACAAGCATGATTACATCATTGGTCACAGGATCGGGTTTAATTATCAGCACCCCTCTTCCCCACAGACTGGGCTGGTCCCAAGGGACCCTAGAGGCCAAGGAGAGGTTGGCTCATTAGCATAATAAAGGCACACCTGCCACCCAGAAAATCCCAAGGAACTCCAAAGATCTGTGGCAGGAATTGGGAAAAAGGTCAGATGTATTCTGTATTATACCACAAGTGAAAACAGGAGAAATCAGGTATAAATCGGCCAAGCACTTCCAGGTTGTTTTGTAGGAAATATCACTAGAACTCACCAGACACCAGCTAAAAATCTATGCATGGCTGAGCATGCACAGAAGTCCTTTCTCCTAGCTGATGACCTGACACCATAAACTGAGAATCCCCACATAGAACACTCGCCAAAAGGATGAAGAGGCATGACCATCTATGTCTTCCCAAAGCCCTAAAACTTTCCCGTGCCATCTGATCAACAAGTGGCTTTACCCTCTCCCTTCCTAAACGCTGTCACCACCAACCAACTGCAGAGACAGATTTGAGCATGCCTCCTGTCTTGTCAGCCTTCAATAAAAGCTTTCTTTTTTGCAAAAACCTGCTTAATGGTTATTGCCTTCTATGAGTGTGGGGCAGAAAACCCTTGGTTACAGTTTTCAACTGAAAATCACTTAAAACTAATAAGCATTTACGAAAAGGCAAAGTATGAAATAAAAGTAAGTCCATTTATTTTTGTAACAGTAAAGACCAGCAAGAAAATAGATTACAAGTTCCTGCTTACAATACCAAGAAAATGTATTAAATGTATTATGATAAACTCAGTAAGAAATGTAACATATGGTACAACTTTCAGAATCTAGGGAAAGTCAGGAAAAGAAAGGACCATGCACTTGGGGAGAGGAATCACAGGGAGCAGATGACCGCAGGGTTTTTCTTAGGATGGTAAATAAACATGGCAAGGATGTTGGTCACGTGGGACTAACTGGGCCTAGACTCATTTTTGCTTCAAACATGTCTAGGGTATGAATACAAGGGTGCAAGATAATGCCTAGAGGTGCAATACTATGAGGCTTATAATCTACTTGTGCTCAGGCACTGCAGCCAGGCTGAGTGAGACCCTGTGGTACAGGTACATTTGAGTCGTGACTCCATCATCCCCAGACTGATTCTGGGGAAGGACGATAAAATGCTACACAGCTCAAAGTAAACAGTCAAGATTAGTAGAAAACAAGCAGTGAGGTGGACAAAGTTTTAAGCCTTTTTTTTTCACTTTATATTGATTTCATTCTGTGACCTTATAACAGTTTGCATTTATTTGTATTTATGCCAACTCAAAAAGAAAGTTTAAATTCAGTTAGGCAAATGAAAGTAGGAGATGAGATGATTTTTTTTTAAAGGTGCTCATTAGTATGTTTTATTTTTCTACCATCACCATCTAGTGGAGAAAACCTTAACTTCAGACAAAAGGAAGTGGGGTTCAGGGAAAAAGAAAGAAAAACAGAAGGCCTGCTATATGGCAGGTAATAAGCAAAATGCTTTCACATTTTAAGTTCATCTTATTGTCACGATGGACTATGAACCTTATCATGCCTCTTTGAGATATGGAACTAAGGCTGAACCGAGTTCTTGGTTCATCAAATCTTGACCAAGTTCACCCTATAGCCACCTCAAATCCAGATCCTTGAAGTATACGGTCATTTTCACCTTACTGTACATCTAAATAGCTCAGTTTCATGTCTGTGACTTTGGGAGTAAAATACACTCACACACACACACACACACAGCCCTTTGTCTCTTGTGTTATGAATTATATCTAGATGTAGCCGAGACCCTCATGTGCCCATAGGCAGGTCTTTTGGGAGGTGACTGGGTTATGGGGGCTTATAGCTCACTTGCTGTTAAGGATAAGGGTTTCGGCCAGAAAAGGCAGGTCAGGTGGGGGCGTGGCCTGGAAGAGTATCAGTGAATCTCCCTTCCCAGCGCCTCCCTTCACGCTCCACTTTCTGGCTGGCTGCCTACCATGAATAGAGCATTTTCCTCCTCCCAGGGCCTTTTACCTCACTGTTCTGCCTTGAAGCCAGCCAACTAGGGACTGAAAATAAACTTCTCCTTGAAGATGTGACTGTCAAGTACTGTGTCCCAGTGATGAGAAAATGACTACGAGAATCTGTACTTTTTTCCTTATTTATATATACCTTTGGGAAATCACATGCATAAAAAGACTAGGATGGAGCTAGGGGTACATACAGCACATGAAGACCCAAGGTTCATTTCCTATTCCAAGAAAGGAAGGAAAGAAGATTGATTATACATACATCTTTTAATTTTATTCTATATTTTGATGTATATTTTTATATGACAATAAATCCTGTTGAAAACACACATTAGGGAACAATGAAGACACAGAATTACATCTATATGTAAGCACACAGTGTACTCATGACGTATATTTAAAAAATCTGGGAAAAGATGCTAAAATACTAACAGTGGTTATTCATGAGTAGATTTTTCCATAAGCATGTATTTTCAAAAAAGAAAATTTAGGTCATATATATTAAAAAGAAAAGACATTCAAGAAACTTCATTATTTTAAAATTATTTTGCATGGCTTAAAGATGACCATATTTAAACATTTTTGTAAATGTTTAAAATCAGTGTAGTTAACAACACTTTTCTTCAAAACTTGTTTTGAGGTCAGCCCTAGAACTAGCACTTGATTCTACAATATTCTTGTAACAGTCCCTCTAGGGACAAATAAATGTCCATGAGCCTCTATTTTTTCACAACTTCAAATTATCCTATGATCAGAGATATAAAGATTCTTTAAACCCCAATTACTTTAGTTTTTCTATTAATTTTTGAGCCCAACATTTTTAGAAAAATTCAACCACCAAAATATTGGATTTCACTTCTTGTACAATCACAGCTTGGGACACATACTTTACAACTAGTATCAACTGAAAAAATGCATCCTGTGCCCTTTCATCTCCCATGAAAAGGCTCATAAAATCCTTTGGCCTTGCTTGTGGATAATAATGGAAAGAAAAATGTCCCACCTAAAATACACTTCTTTTGTTTATTTCAAGTTGGGTATTCAGAGAAACCTCTGCAGTAGCCTACATCTAGACACACTAATAAACAGTAAATGCAGGCACAGCCTTTTTGCAAGAAGAGGGGGAAAGCTAAAGCTAACCCCCAGTTTGGACAGAGATGACCTCTGGTTGCTATTACCTGGGAGACTCCATCTGAATCACCTGTACACATATCCCCACAACCCTTGAGAATGGACCACTACCCTCTGAGACAGTTGTCTACCACGGGGTCAAAGGGCAGGTGTACTTCTTAGCCTTAACTCAGGACCTATTACCCATTAAAAGTATACTATGTATTCTTTTCTACCACCCATTCTCCCAAACAATTTTATGGGTCTCAAAAACTAGGTGCATCTTTAAAGATGCCTTCACCATAGCATCTCCAAGAATAAAACAGATAAAGAATAAATAAAACTCTTGGGGATCACCACTGAGGGATAGAGAACAAACTTCCAGGCCCTTAATGTGTTTTTCATGAAAAGTATGATTTATGTTTTCTTTTGAAGCAGTCAGGGACTTAAAACCTGTTTTTGTTTAAAAACAAACAGACTTTTCACTTGGGCCTACAGAAGCCCAATGCGTAACTAAAAACAGGACAAAGCTAGGCATCTCTGCTTTCACTTTGGATCAGTCTCCTTTACAGCTTTAAAACTCCCCACTCAGCTCTACATGTAGGCTGGTTAATCATCTAGGGAAGGTCCATCTAACTGGTAGTAAAGGGTTTATTAGACCGAACTTTACCTACTCTATCTCAGCCCCCTTCAAGACTGAGGACCCCAAGATGAGACCTGCAAGGTCATTCAACTACCAGCGTTTACCCTTGAAACGAGCATGGAGAAAGTCATTGCCATAAACCGGCAGTCACCTCACACTCCAACAGAGCCTCTAAAACTGCGATGGCCCCCAAACAGCAGCAGTCATCTCAGGGGAACTAGATTGCTTCCCAAGCCAGGAGGCCTTTCCTGAAGCTGATCAGCCAGACCCTAGTCCACCTCAGCAACCCCGTAAGAACTGGCCTCTTCCGTTTGTTAGCAACCCAGCCCAATCTTCTGCATCAGGGCTGCATTCTTTTCGGCTTTTCTTCTGCTCAAACTGAAATCCCTTCACCATTTTCTCTTGCTTTCCAATTAGAGATTCTGCCTGTAAATTTGCGCTGTTGCCTCGGTTTCAATGTCCACTATCGCTCAAGCAAACACCCACGGCAGCCAGTGACCCCCTCACCCCTGCAAGCTCTCTAAGTCAGCCACCCTGCTCTTCCCGACTAACATGCCTCCACGCCTCGGGCATGTGACCGCGTTCGTACAGACAGACGCTCCTTCCGTTGGCTACTGCCAACGTACTTCATAGTCCAAAATCATCACCCCTTCAGAGGGAAGAGTACATTTAAAACTTCCCTAACAGCAACTTTCAACGAGACAAAAAAGCCTTGTTCTCCGTCAATTCATTTACTGCTTCAATAGCAAAAGTGCGTGTTTAGCATCCTTTTTTCCCCAGGTAGTTGGGAGGCTGAGGCAGGATTCCAAATTTGAGGCCAAGCCGGACTGCATACCAAGCATGCCCTACCAAGCATTTCTCTTTTTGGCAACGGGGATCGAACTCGGGACCTTGCGCTTTCGAGGCAGGCGCCGGAGCCACTGAGCTACATCCCCGGCCCCCAAGCATTTCTTAAAAGGGGAGAATTAAAGGTAGAAAACAAAATCCCTGGAAACGGTAACACAATTAAAGATGTAGGATACCACACTCGACCTTTAACTATTTTTACGCGGCTTGGGGGGCGTTTTCCAAGGTTGCCTGTCACCCCATCGTTATGCGGAGAGAATGCGTAAGCTGGTTTCGGACTGCAGCTCCTCCAGAACAGAAGTGAGACGAGCTAACCGGGTCCTCGGACAGAGGCAAGCGCGTTCGCCACCATCGCCCAAGGTCTCCCTCACCACCAGCGACCCTCGGCGACCTGCTGGCTCGCTCTGAGCCCCGCGCGGCTCAGCTCCCCTAGTGTGGAGAGCCCAAAAGCCGCCCTCCGCGCCACAAATTGTGCTTAAGGCTCCGCCCAGCTTCCCGTGCCTCCAAAGGCCGAAAAGACGCGATTTCCTGCACAGCCCGTGCCCCTCACAGACCCCGCTCGAGGAACCGGAAGTGAACGACAGGCGGCGGGAGAGAACCTCTCTACCTTTCCCGCCGTGCCGCGCGAAGATTGGCCGGCGGCGATGGGGACTACACTTCCCGGCGTGCCGCGCAGGACGTGGCTTGCGTCTGAACCGGCGTTCGCAGACTACATTTCCCGAAGGGTCGAGTGAGGCGTTGCTCGCGACGGGGCAAATGGTCGCGGACTACACTTCCCGGCGCACCGCGCGAGGCGTCGCCAGCGGCCGGCCGAGGGCGTGCCGATGCGGGAGCTCCGGACGTGAGGCATGAGCGGCGCCCTCCCCCGGCCCGCGCGCGTCCTGCCGCTTCCCGGAGAGAGGGTCTCACGACGCGGGGCCTAGCGGCGGGTATCCGAGGCCTCGGCTTCCGCAGGGGCAGGTGCGGGAGCGCCAGGCGCCGGGGAGGGCGGCGGCCGCCATGGAGGTGAGCGGGCCGGAAGACGACCCCTTCCTGTCGCAGCTGCACCAGGTGCAGTGCCCCGTGTGCCAGCAGATGATGCCCGCCGCGCACATCAACTCGCACCTGGACCGCTGCCTGCTGCTGCACCCTGCGGGGCATGCGGGGCATGCGGAGCCCGCGGCCGGGTCGCACCGCGCGGGGGAGCGGGCCAAGGGCCCCTCGCCGCCCGGCGCCAAGCGGCGGCGGCTGTCGGAGAGCTCTGCTCTGAAGCAGCCGGCCACCCCGACGGCGGCCGAGAGCAGCGAGGGCGAGGGCGAGGAGGCCGACGACGGCGGCGAGACCGAGAGCCGCGAGAGCTACGACGCGCCGCCCACGCCCAGCGGCGCGCGCCTCATCCCCGACTTCCCGGTGGCGCGCGCCGGCAGCCCCGCCAGGAAGGGCTCGGGGAAGCGGCCGGCGGCCGCCGCCGCGGCGGGGAGCGCATCTCCGCGCAGCTGGGACGAAGCGGAGGCGCAGGAGGAGCTGGAGGAGGCGGGCGGCGACGGCGACGCGGACGCGGACGGCGAGGACGACCCGGGGCACTGGGACGCGGACGCCGCCGACGCCGCCTTCGGGACGGGCGGCGGGAGCCGCGCGCACCCCCGGGCGTTGGCGGCGGAGGAGATCCGACAGATGCTGGAGGGCAAGCCGCTGGCCGACAAGATGCGACCCGACACCCTGCAGGACTACATCGGGCAGAGCAGGGCCGTGGGGCAGGAGACGCTGCTGCGTTCGCTGCTGGAGACCAACGAGATCCCCTCACTCATCCTGTGGGGGCCGCCGGGCTGCGGCAAGGTGAGTGCGGACCCGCCTGCCTGTCACCGAAGCGGGCCGGGCGCAGTGCCGGTCCGAGTGGAGTCGGTGTGAGCGAGGGACGGTCACACCTCATGCCTGCCGGGTTCCTAAGACACCTGCAGGTCTTCCTCAAAGGATGATGTCTTTGAATTGGTAGGCTTTCCCCGAAGATATCTGTGGACCCAGATTCGCGCCCCCTTTGTGCCCCGCCCCACGTCGGGCTGATTGTTAGTGACCCACTTCTCAGGGAAACGTGCTACATAAACTGTCAAGAGCATGGTGTATTCCGTTTGTATGTATATGGGTTCATCTGTGAAAAAGTAATTAAATTCTTATTTCTGTTGTGCTTCCTTCCCCACCCACTAGTTGGTTTAACACTGATTTTCAGAATAAGAAAACTTTCTTCTGGAAGTCATTTTCATCAGGCTTTTTCATAACTTTTCTCATATTGCTTTGTGTTGTAGAGCAGCAGCAGCAATGCTAGTATCTTCATCAGGGGCTAGCACAAGTGTACAGGGGCACTTAGGGTACTGTGGGTCTAGAGAGCATGTCATTGGAAGAACATTTGAGAAAAAATGAGGAGGAGGTCCTCCTGAAAAGAAAGCTAAGAGCTACTAGCAGTAGGATGTTCCTCTGTGCAGGAAGAGGGAGGAGAAAGAGCACCTGTGAGGGGCAGAATTTGAGGTCAGAATATAAAGAGCTCTCCTAGCTCTGAGGTTCAGACTCATACACAGAGGCATTCATAATTTCTCTCCCTCTCCCTCTCTCTCTCTCTCAACTTAACCACAGTTCTCTTCAGTTCCTGGAATGCACCTTGCTCTTTGTGCTTTCTTGTTTGTAATGCTTTTATCTCTTGCCAGGCATAAGTCAGATGTGTTTCAAATATCGCACACATGTGTGTTGGAGATTGAACCCAGGGCACTCACCCTGCCACTGACTCCACCCCCAGGTCCCAGATAACAGTTTATGACCACTGCAGAATTGATGTCTGTCCCCACGTGCTTAGTTGCTACCCCATTTAGGGGTTGAACAGTAAGGTTCCTAAGTAATTGTGAAGTGTTTATATAAAATCAGGAGAACAATAATCAGCTCTTGATAGTCCCAGTGTGCAAGACAAAGTTGGTAGGGGATGAGTCCTAGAAGACTTGAGTGCAAGAGGTTTACTGGACCAGGCTGCCCATGAGGTGGCGGGTGATCTGCTGCCAGCCTTGTGACACGGGAGTCAGATTCCAAAAGGCAAGCAGGCTGGGGCTGGATAAAGAAGCAGTGATAGTGTCTACTGGTGCTGTACACTTTTAAAATAAAATGCCACCTTTTCATTGAGGAGCAGATTTGCCTGTCAGTAAACACTTCCTCTTTTCTTTATTCCTGTTTTTACGGCTGTGATGCTAACAATGATCTTAACAGCATGTACATGTCTACCAAGCACTCATTAAATGCCAGGTACTGGATGAACAGTCCTTTCCTTGGACCTCTCCTTTGATTTCTGGTAAGTGCTAACAGGATTGAAGTGAACTTGCTCATTTCCTTCCAGAGTGGACATTTTGAAGTGTCGGGCAGTCATCTCCAATATGAGGTAGTTGTCATTGACTCCTATTCTTAGCTGTTAGCTGAGCTGCCAGTTCTGGCTGTTGTCCCAGGGTCATTTCTACACCCTGGTCATTCAGCTGCAGTGCTTTCTTAGCTGGAGGAGGGAGAATTTTCTTTTCTCTTTAGTGGGAGATCACAGCTGTCACTTAGACTGCTAAATCAAGATAGCCACTCTTCATTGGGATTGGGAAGATCTTAAGAGTCCCCAAGAAAGGAATTAAAAGGAGTTAGGAATAAAGGAGAAAAGGTCACAATTAGTCTAAGAGTTAGTCTTTCCTTCAGATACACGTCTATACTATGTTTCTCTCTTTAATATTTGAAAATACACTGTAGCATTTCAGATCATAGCCATACCTCAAAGCCTCCTTCAGAATTCAGGTTGCTTGGAAAATAGTGCTAATGCTGCTTGTAATGCCTGCCCATGGGAAACTTTCTGGTCAGCTTTTGAAAGTGTGTGTGTGTGTTTTCTTTTCTAGACTACCTTGGCTCACATCATAGCCAACAACAGCAAGAAACATAGCATAAGGTTTGTAACATTGTCTGCAACAAATGCCAAGACAAATGATGTGCGAGATGTCATAAAACAAGCTCAAAATGAAAAGAGCTTTTTCAAAAGGAAAACCATCCTTTTTATTGATGAGATTCATCGGTTCAATAAATCTCAGCAGGTATATTAACTTCCTTTTCTATCTTTTGGTCATTGTGTATCAAAATATAAAGTATCTGAGATGACTTAGAAAAGTGTAAAGCACGACAATTCCTAGGGACTGCTGTGATTAGCAGCTTTGACTACAAAGAAGCATGGGCTTCTTTAGCCTGTCTCCTTCTAGCCCTCACCCCAACACTTTCTGGTTTTGTTGCTTTGTTTGTTGTAAGAAAATGCTCTCTGTAATAAATGAAATGCTTGATATATCTGATCATCCCATAGAAAAGAGCAGCTTTGGATTAAATTTCCAAAATTTAGAAAAATTTAATGTAAAATAGTCATTGTGCATAGTTAAAAATTTGATTTTAAGATCATTAGTTTAGCTTTTTAAATTTCTCCCATATTTTCAAAATTAGGGTCTATTATCTGTGCCTTCAAGCTCATTAAATTGAGTGATACAATGATGTAGTTATTGCTGTTTATTTTAATGGCTTTCAGAATAAACCAGTTAGCACTCTGCCTGATGTTGGCATTGTAAATTTCACCTGGGACCATTGACTCACCTTAGTATTTATGCATAAGACAGCATCTGGTGTTATCCTTCCTACCAGGTTTGTAGGAAGGATAACAACATGATTGAATATTTGCAGTGGAAGAGGTTTTCGGAAATACTGACATTTTTGTATTTTCTCCCACTCCTGTAAGTAAAAAAGCTGATATGTGTAAGCTATGTGTCCGTTCAGCTTTGGGTAGAAGGTACTTTTCTAAGTAAAGGAGTCACTTATATATTAAAACTAAGAATTCTTCTCAGAGATATTACTTACCAGCAAAAAATCAGGCTGAGACACTAGCACTGTAGCAGTTGTGTTTTAAACTTAACAACCAAGAGCTCTTCCAAATGTTGTATCCACATTTGGTGAATATACTCTAAAGGTAAAGATAAGGAAAAATGAAGGAATGGATAGCCAACCTACATGGGGGGCTGTGGTGGCTGTTGACTGGAATCGCTTTCTTCTGTTTTCCTCCCCATGATTAGGACACTTTCCTTCCTCACGTGGAATGTGGGACGCTCACCCTGATTGGGGCAACCACTGAAAACCCTTCCTTCCAGGTCAACGCAGCTCTTCTAAGCCGCTGTCGGGTGATTGTTTTAGAGAAGCTTCCAGTAGAGGCCATGGTGACTATTCTAATGCGTGCGATCAACTCCCTGGGAATCCACATCCTAGACTCCAGCCGCCCCACTGACCCTCTGAGCCACAGCAGCAACAGCAGCTCTGAGTAAGTTGACAGTGGGCAGAGTCAGGGCGCACACACCACCTTGAGAACCTCCTGGCAGGGGGCTGGAAGGGGCTGGGCCTCAGACAGAGAGGGGCGGACTTGGGAGAAATGGTGATCTGCCAGTGATGAAAATGCTGAAGCAGGAAGGAAGTCCTGTTACCTCTGCAAACATTTCCTTTCTGTTAAGATGGGTTTTCTTGTAATGGTTATAGCTGTAATTCTTCAAGCTATACTGTTGCTCTGTAGTTTTAGTTCTTGGGTGTTTGCTTTTGTGTTCAGGGTGCGTCTCCTGCCTCACTGTTTTAAAAGCTTAGAAGACTTTGGGAAATCATGCTGATTATTAAAAAGGTTTATATATGCTGGGGATTTAGCTCAGTGGTTCTGACACCTGCCTCGAAAGTGCAAGGTCCCAAGTTCGATCCCCAGTACCAAAAAAAAAAGCATTCAGCATTTTAAAGGTTTATGTGTCCCTCATTGGATGGAACAAATAGGTGTGTACTTCCTAGACTTAACAAATTTATGGAGATTTATATAAATTCAGATTTCTTTTTTCACTGCAGTTTGTTATTCTTTTAAAAACAGACAAATTTAATGTAACTGTAACCATACCACCATACCATTATTTAAACCTTGTTTCATGCCCAAGAAACCAAGCTCAGTTCCCTGAAAGTAAAGGAAATTTTTTTTTTTTTTTTTTTTTGCACTGGGAATCGAACTCGGGTCCTTGCGCTTGTGAGGCAGGCGGTGGGACCACTGAGCTAAATCTCCGGCAAGTAAAGGAATTTTTATTATTGAAATGGCATGTCCAGTTGTCTCCTTCCCTTTGATGACCAGTTTCCACAGCATGAGCACCATGCATGTTCATTGATGCACAGGTGTATATTTTATGGATAATCAGCTCAATTTCCTGGGTCAGAGGTTTTCCTTTTTTATATTAGAATACATTCCTCCCAAGCCATTTGTTCATGTGTTGGCTGAAATACACAGTGGAAAATAATCTGGTCGGAGATGAGGCTACTGCCCTCCTCCGTGCTGTGGACGACACAGCTGTGCTCTCTTGCCCCGAGGCCAAGCTCTGGAGCCACTTTTCTGCAGGGATTAAAGTAGAAGGCATAGTTGTAGACTCAGAGCTTAGGTTTCAGCAGTCTCTCTGTCTGGCCTCACCCATTTGTTCCCATCCCACATGTAGAAGAATGCTGCCATGTCTCACGAAAGCCTTGGAACATTTGGCAGTGGACCCCTGAGCAGAAGGAAATTGCTTCATCTTAGAGCACAGTTGTGATGGGACAGTCATTAGAACTGTGCTGGAAATGAAGTCTGGAACCTGCTGGTATCAGTCAGGTGTGCCTGTCCCCAGTGAGGGTCTCGGGCTCCTCCAAGGCTCTGCACCTAGTACAGCCATCCCTCAGTACCTGCAGGAGTCGGCCCCAGGACCCCCTCAACGATACCAAAATGCTTAACTCCCTGAAAGGATGTAGTAGTTACCTATAACCTATATGCTTCTTTTACATCACCCTTAGACTACTTATTTTTCAAATTTTGCAATGTTATAGATGGAACCCGAGGCCTTGCTTATGTTAGGCAAGCACTGTACCATTGAGCTTTGTCCATACCCCTCTAGATTACTCACAATACCTAATGGAATGTAAATAAGTTGTGGGTAGTGGTCATTCCGTATTGTTTAAGGAAGAATGACAAGAAGGAGAGGGTCTGTGGTACAGATGCATTGTTTTGAAGCCAAGACTGAATTAGAGAATTTGGAACCCATAGTTACTGAGGGTTGACTGTATCTTTTCTGTATTAAAGCTTTCATCATAGACTCATTATCAGCACATGGTAAAGACAAATTGAAAAAGAAGGAAAAATTTTTCTGTTTTCTGTGTACTGATACTTACAACCCACCTGTAATTTTATATCCTGCCTTTCATTTACCCAGGGTAATTTTAATTTTTTTCTCATGTCATTTTATGGGATTGGGTTATTCAGAAACCTTCAGGATTTTTCCCCCTTGTACTCATTGCTATGAAAAGAGAAAGTAGTAGAATGTGGAGCTCATCCTCATGAAAAGCATTTCTGCATTTTAAAGGATTTCCACGTGATTAGCAAGCACATGCAAGTCTGAGGATCCAGTGAAAGAATGAAGATTTCATCTCCTTTAGTTACTGAAACTGAGAGACAGATACGAAAAGGAGTCAGTGATTGTGAATCAGTCAGAGAAAACCTCCAGTGTCTGTCTGTATAGTTTCCGCACAGTCCCTCATTTAGAATTACTCATAGACTTTCATTCTCCTTTGCTTTCTTATGTTCCCACCTTCCTCAGAGAGCTCTGAACTTGCCTTTCATGTTTATATCCGCAGTATCATGTCTGGTATATGTTATGTGCTTGGTAAATAGCAAATGAATAAATCCAGCTTTCAATACAAGAAAAGTAGCTTAATTTTTTCTTTTTCTTTTCTTTTCTTTTTTTTTTTTAGTGTAGTCTGACATAAGGGATAATTACCCAGGTATCAAGAGTCTTTTTCTTTAATACTATTGCACTTTTCATTAGCAGCAAGCAGAGTAAAAGGAAAGAATATTAATTAAGCTTAAGTCCATTAAGTCTACTTGTTAGCGATTGGCAAGAAGATAAGGTGGGAGATGTCACAGACCACAGAAAAAAAGTTACATTGTAAATGAATTTCTGAAAGAAGTACCTGCCACCCAGCTTGCCATGGATACTTAGGAGTGGATTGTGTTGTCTTTCAGTTATGGTAGGTGAAATTTTACCTTCAGATCCCTCCTGACTGCCATCAGCTGTGTGCACAAGATCGTCCTTGTGCACATGAATAGATCTGGTTACACTGGTTTAGCTGGAAGCAAAGATCCTCATCCCCAGCAGTTACTTTCTTTCTCGGGGAAGCTGTGCATGTGCCTCTATCCTCCTGCCATGTTTGGGTGACCTGGATGCCAACTAGAATGTGCCCAGAGAAGTCTTCGTGGTGGAGGGATGCGTGAGAGGTGGTGAGCGGGGGCACTGCTCTCAACTGTCCATGCCACCCCTTAGGCCATTCCTGGTCTTGCTTGGGGACTTGTGAGTTCTCACAGTGTACACGTGTGCACGAGTAGTTCCCATTAAAGCTGGATAAAGGTGTTTGGTTTGGTGCTGGGGATTGGGTGGGGTCTTGTACATGCTGAGCATACACTCTACCACTGAGCAACACCCCCAGCGTAAGTCTTCCTTTTTAAAAATGTGCCTCCCATGTTCATTCAGTGGAAACTGAAGTCCTGCTTATGGTAGACATTGGCTGGTTGTTGAAAAGCACAGTCCTGTGACTAGAGGTGATACAGTCTGGTACAAGCCAGAGGAGCAAATCGTCTTGCAGGGCTGTGCTGTGTTGAACTGTACACAGACAGGGTGGGTGGGCAGAGAGAAGAGGCACCTAGAAAAGCAAACATTGCACCACCTACATGAGGGGTGCCAAGCTGAGTTCTGAGGGATAAGCAGAAAGCTTATCTATGCCGTAGTCACTCATTTTTTATGGCTAATGATCAGCGGCCAAGTTGTTTTGCTCTGTGAAAGCATTTTGGTCACATAATACAAATAGTAAAGTATGCTATCTGTGCTGGGTTCATTTTGGAAGTGAGGGGAAAAAATCCATGGTCGAAGGTATGATGAGCTTGTGCTGCTGGAAATGGGAAAGTAGAGCAGCGTTTAATCGCCCTGCACTCCATACTGCTCTGAAGGGTTGTAGATCCCCAGATCACAGGATGCACGCATATTCAGAAGCACCCTAGAGAAGCAGTTGGCTGTGGACCAGAGAAGAGGGAGGTGTGAGAGCGTGATTGCAGCCGGCCACATTCCGAGAGGTGCATGAAAGAGCTGAATGGCTTCTGTCCTCCAAGGGTGCTGTGGCTTTACTTTGGTTTGGGCTTTTCTTTCATCACCTGGAGAACAAAGGCCCAGCCAAGATGGCCCCAAAACAGATCTTTTTCTTTTTTTTTAAAGGTTTGTTTGCCTCGCTTCAAATAACATTTCCTACCACTCCATACAAAGGTAGTAGAACATGGGAGCTAAAGGTACTGACCAGAGTCAATTGTGGGTGTAGAATGAATTTTTAGTAGTTTTTCTTAAACATTTTTTACTCTTAAGGTAAAAGGGTTCATAAGTATAGTACAGCAATGCCTGTAATCCTAGCACTCAGGAGGCTGAGACAGGATTGCAAGTCCAAAAGCCAGCCTGGAGCTACATGGTGAGACCCCGTGTCAAAGTAGCAACAACAAAAGTACATTAAGATAGCTGTGTTAATATAAAGAAAAAAGTTAAGACACATTAGCTAACCTGAGTATAAAGAAAAAAGACGTTAAATGTTAAAATGATGCCATAAAAACATCAGCAACCAGACACAGCTCTCATGGATGGTGTTGGTTCCCTGTGACTGCTGTAACAAATTATGGACACCAGGTAGTTTAGAAGAAAACTGGAAGTCAGGACCAAAATCAAGGGATCAGCAGCCACAGGCCTCCAGAGGCTCCAGAGGAAAGTGTCCTCCCAGCATCCTGGGACCCTGGCTCTCCTTAGATGGTGGCTGCCTCACTCCGTCTTCACGTGAGCTCTGCCTTCTCTTTCTGTCTTTTAAAAGGACATTTGTTGCTGGATTCAGGATGCACCCTGAATCCAGGATGCTCTGATTGTGAGATCCTTAGTTACATCTCCAAAGACCCTGTTGCCAAAAAAGCTCTGACATCTTTTTGGGTCACTGTTCCGCCCACTAGGGATCCCTCCCAGGTATGTGGCGTAGTGTAACTTGGAAAGACGTGGTTCTGTGAGATTTAACAAAGGAAGATGACATCTATGAAATACATGTTCTTTCTTTGTGGAGAAAATGAGTTTTGTTTTTACTTCACTCTGGTTACCATGGAAACAGGGCTTGGGGCTCTCCAAGATTTGCAGTTCTAGAGAGTCTGCTGCCAAACTAATTCAAATAGCTCTCATCACCGATTATTTGAGTGTTTGTGTCATGACAAGCACTGCCCAAGTATTCTGTGTGCTTTATTTAATCCTCCGTCCACCTTTGCTTTCTTTTTATTACATGAGGAAACGGGGGCATAAGGTTAAGGTACAGACGATCACCCAGCCTAAATGTGGCAGTACCAGCTGTACAGGCATGTTGTTAACTGCTAAGTGACCTCAGTTGCTAGAAGGATCTAGGCACCAAGGTGAATGGGGGTGAAAAGCTCTCTAACCTCTCTCCATGCACATCTTTGTGTAAGGGAGCTAATTTGTGAAGATCAGGAGCAGCAGATCCCCTCTGCAGTGCAGCAGGAGGGCCTCTTAGCCACATGCCCTGATGCTCTGTGCCCAGTGTCTACCCCTGGAGATCTGGCAGGCAGTAAACTTGCAGTAATAAAACCACATCTGTACCTGAGGAAGAAGGTTCTCTGCCCTGACACACACCCCTGGTTGAGTACCACTGTCCATAGTGGTCACCCTGTGTGTAGTGACCCTTTTCCTTAGTGAAGAAGACTGGGGAGTTTGGTTTGTAATTCAGTGATGGAGAGCTTAACTGAGCCATGTACTGTACGTTCTCTTGTTCTACCACAAAATAACAGGTACATACATTTCACTCCTCCACCTTCACTATCTGGCCATCTAATTAGCATCCTCCTCCAAATCCCAGTATTATCCACCAGAAGAAAACTGTGCAGATGGATTTAAGTCCCAGGAGAGAGAGAGGAAGGAGGGAACTTTCTGTGTTCCTCTTCTACAGTCAGTGCTTCACCTGGGTCCTGTTAACCGGGAATCCGGTTTTCTCCAGGCCATTTGTTTGAACCAATTTTTCCCCTTATTAGTTTATTATATTATAGCAGCATAATTTAATATCTGTTGCTTATTTCTCTGTGTAGGGTACTATGAGATTTTTAGCAATCTTGTCACCAAAGTAAATTTTATCTCAATTCTGTTTACCTTTGGAAGACAATCCAAACATTTTATATGTTTAAACTTAATTTTAAATTGTTAAATTCTCTAGAACACTACTTTTTCAAGGATCTTTACATAATAGTTGCTGTTTGCTAAGGGGTTTTACAGGTATCAGTACAAATATCCCTTCCTTTATTCTTAGCGTGAGTTCTTTGATCTGTTCCCCTTTCTAAGGTCTCGGAATATTTTAGTACATCATACTATTCTTCAGAACTGAGGTAGGCTGGTTCAGGACATGCTGGGTAGCAAGTAGAGCCTGTAGAGCTTCTTGCACAGTGTTCTTAACTATGAATTTCCATTTTACAACATCCGTATGTGCCCATGGTGTCACTGCCAGCCCTGTTCTATTACTTGAACAGAGTTGCTGACAGCTCCATTTGGGTTTAAAAATACTCTGTCCCTGTGGCGGACAGAGTGAAATTTGGAATGTGGATCATTCCCAGAGGGGTGCGGATCACACTGAGCAGGAGCACTCATTCCTCATGACTCCAAACCAGAACCACAGAATGCCTTAGACTTGGTTAGAAGTTTTAAAATCCAAGGAAGGGCCCTGAAATGCGTAACATTTTCAAAGCCTTATTTACAGTACATTGTTTATAAATCTCTGGAACAATAAATGACAAATTCATGGGAAAAGGATATATATCAAAATACTAATTTTAGGGCCGGGGATTTAGCTCAGTGGTTCCGCCGCCTGCCTTGCAAGCACAAGGACCCGAGTTCGATCTCTGGTACAAAAAAAAATACTAATTTTAAATTAGTCCAGGGATATATACCAAAATACTGATTTTAAGTTAGTCTAGAAGTGGGTAGCATTTCTCCTTTTGTGTATTTTTAAATTTTAATATACATTTATTTTAGAAGTAATATTCAGGGCCTGAGTAGCTTGTTTTCAAGCCATTCTTGGTAAGGTTGTGAAACTACACAGTATGATCCTGAATTTGTTTAAAAACAGGTCCAAGGTTAACGGCTGCATGGCTGGTTGAATCATGAAAATCCAACAAATACGTGGCAGCTGCTATCTCTATCTAGGTGATGGAGAGAGGGACTTTGTTTTCTATACCTAGGATTTTTACCAAGTAATGTTTCACTCTGAGGTGGTGAGGAAGCAGAGTTAGTCCGTTCTCTGTGCAGATACCGAGTGCTTGTTACCTGCCGGGCACCGGCACCAGGGAGACCGGATCAAGCTGACCCTTGCTCCAGGTGCTCCTGTCCTGTGGGGCCGGAGAGGTGATGGTGATGGTAATGGTGAACAGCGCAGCTCGAGGCTCTGGGTAGAAGGCGGTCCGCCAGTTAGGACTGAGGGCTCTCCTGCGTCTGCCCCTTCCCCCTCAGTGCTCCTCCAGGTGTTCTGTTGCTAAGAAGCTTTCCAGGGAGGCGGAAGGCATTGCTTTTCTGACTTCTGAGGTGGACAGGAGGTGTGGAGGCAGCCTTGTTTCTCTGTCCTCCCCACCCACACACGAGTAAGCGTGCCCTTCCCTGTGAGTGACGACATTGTGCACTTCTTTGTCCCCTCTTGCTGGCCTCTCTTTTTCTTGTCTGTAGTACATCTTCTATCATTTTCCTTTTAGTCATCATCTGGAAAACCCAGTTTCTGGTTGAGAGGGGGCTGGTCGGCTTTCGGCACTGCCAGTGAGGTGGCCCTGGTGTGTGTGTGGAGTGGCGTGGTGTGGTTTGTGCTGCGAGGACGCAGGCATCAGAAGGGAGGAGGATGAGTCTCCAGGCTGCACCTGGGGTCTGGGGCCCACGGGCGTGAGGAGACCGAGGACAGTGGTTTGTTAGAAAGCCTGTGAAGCCAGGTGTCCACGTAGGGTGAGGCCCACGGGGAATAACTGAAAATCCCAGCCATCTTTGGTAAATGGGAGAATGAGGTGAAGCAGTCTGTAAGATACAAGAAACAAGTCTTTCAGTGAGCGAAATGCAGACTAGCGTTATTCAGGTCATCCCCAGGAGCCCCAGGCGGCCCCAGGTGGGTGTACAGTAAGGAACCCCTGGAGCAACCCAGTAGCCAAGCTGGACCCCTCAGAGCTCGCCCTCAGCCAGCCCCGTCAGTGCTCGTGTGTTGTTCCAAGCAGCTGCTGTGAACTGTCCTAGCGGACTCACTGCTACTGTAGGTATTTCCAGCTGAAAAAAGATAATGACATGGGTGAACTATACATTATTTTTTGCTTCACAAATGTGCACCCAGCAGCCAGGAAATCGTAAGACCCTTCTAAGCAATGTGCTAGCCAGCTTGCCTGACTGGACTGGGAAGAGGAAAGTTTGCTTAATCAGGCTTGAAAAATAATCACAGTTAGACTTTGTTTATGAAGGTCCAGTCCTAGAGGGGGGATCTTAAATTTTAATCCTGACCTTTGGAGAGAGGTTATGTGACTTCTCCAAGATTTCCACACCACGCCCTGGCATCTTCTGATCTGTTCCCAGGCTAGTAACCTCTGCCACTGTGTGGATTCATGTGATCAGTACCCTCCATGGAGCCCGGCCAAGAGCTCGAGACCTGGTGCTGCTTTCTTCTGTGCCCAGAAAAACTGGGGACCTTGTTTGTGGTTTGTAACTGTTTGATGTGGAGCCTTTCAGAGCTAATATTCTGGCCCAGTGTCGTCTCTTCTCTGCATGCAAGGTGGTCTAAGTGTCATCTGGACATGCGCAGCCTTGAACCACATCGTGTGTCCACTATAAAGAGGTGTGGTGTTTGTAGTGAAGCCTTCACTGTTCTTTAGCCTCGAACCAGAGAGCACGCTTGTCAGCAGTGACTCTCCAGACATCACTGCTGGGCTAGTGTGTGCCCCATGATCTCCAAGACAAGATGCTTAATTAACTACATTACCAATAGGAGTTCAGAACAAGGGCAAACACTTTGAACTCAGGTTGCTTTCCAGTGGCTTCACTGAGAAGCGTAAGTTCACCAAGATGTGCTACAGAATGAGACGTTGCTGAACGTGAAGTAACCAACACTGGCTGTGTTGCAGGCCGTCCGTGCTCATGGAGGACAAAGCGGTAGACACTCTGGCTTACCTCAGCGACGGGGATGCCCGCACTGGCTTGAATGGACTGCAGCTGGCGGTGTTGGCCAGGTTAAGCTCCAGGAAGATGTTCTGTAAGAAGAGCGGGCAGACATACTCCCCAAGCAGAGTTCTGATCACCGAGAACGACGTGAAGGAAGGCCTCCAGCGATCCCACATTTTATATGACCGGGCGGGTGAGTAGCTCGAGTGTGGAACGGGAGACCGTGGGGAGATGAGTGGGGCACACGTGTTCGCTTCCGGGCATCTGCTGTTGGGCCGGGTCAGAACGCACCCCAATTCTCAGGTGGACCTGCACCTGCCCCAGGGCTGACCCTTCTGGAGAAAGGCACCGGGCAGAAGCTGCTCTGATAAGAGGCAAGAGGAGTTTGGGGTCGAAATCACAGGCTCCAGCTTTGTCTACTGGTGCCATTAGGTTGGGCCCATTGCTGCCGGGCAACGCCCTGTGGAGTGCAAGCACTTTTGTAAACTCGTGCAGTGCACGCAGTTGACAGTGGGGATAGTTCTTGTGATCATCAGCCACTCAGTAACAAGAGGACTTGGGCCATAAATACTTAATTCTTTGCTTGAGAGTTAAAATCCACAGTTTCTAGAGTCTAAAAAATGATTTACATGGATCTTGATGGTTTTGTGTAGCTTTTTGAAGATGTAGTAATGCAGTGTGCACAAGGCCGGTCGGAGCAGTGCTCACGGGCGGGAGCTGTGCCAGAGCTTGCTTGGGTCCTGAGCTGGCGTCATCTTTTGGAGGAGGCGGCAGGGAAGGCAGCTTACTGAGTTAGGCTGGGCTCTGCTGCTGGGCACTTGTGTGGCTCTGAAGGCCGCACAGTAGTGCAGTAGATGGAAGAAAATCTCCACACCCTCGAAGGTCCTGCTCAAAGGGGAAGCTGGAAATCCAACCTCCTGGGTCTCACATCAGCTCTGCCGTGTCTCTGACGTCCCTGGTGACAGGAGTCCTCCTGTCCGGTGGAGAAGGGGGTAGAGGACTTTGATCCCAGGCACTGCCCCTTGCTGGGTGCACGAGCCCACTGCACAGCCTCAGACAAGCGGCCAGAGCTCGTGGGCCTCAGTGCCCACGCCTCACTGGGGGCTGGGGCTGAGGACACCTGACACATTGACAGGCAGTCCCGGCTGCACTCTGACGTGTGTGCCTCTCAGCAGGGCCAACTCACACGGCCTGCTCGCCCTGTGCTCTTGACTGTCATGTCAACGCTTAAAAAGCCTGAAAAGTGAGACATCTAAATGTAGAGTGCTATTTTGCTCCTGGCCAAATACAGAAACTGGAGCTAAGAACAGTGAACAGTCTCAGAGGTGACAGAACCCTCCCGGGCTGGCCTCTCCTGTGTCTGGGCTTCAGTAGTAGTTGTCTTTCTGCCCTCTTGCCAAAGTCTTAGAGGAAGCTGCTTGAGACTGGACTGTTCTTTCACACTTTATCAGATTATCAACCAAAATCCATTCAGTATGACATTTGCTAGCAATCACTGAGGTTTTTGCCAACTACAGAAAATTCCCAAACTTAGTAGATAGCTTAGTAGTATCATCCCCATTTTACGATAACAGGTCTCACCTCAGTTCGCAAAGCAGATGGTAAAGCCGTCCTCAGAAAGTCCTTCCTTCCCACTGTCTGTACCTCCTGCCAGCCCTGCCACACAGTCACCAGGCTCGCCCTGGACGTGTCCCTGAGAGTCAAGCCTTGGAGGTGGCTATCCTGGAGAGCCCTGCCTGGTGGGAGTCACCTTGTCTGTAGCACATTCCACTCCCGGGAAGAGCCGGGCGACAGTGGAGACCTTGAGAAGCCCTCTGTGCGCCCTTCTAATACCCGTGTGCTCACTCTTCTCTTCTGACAGCACAAGAGCCTGGCTGCCCCAGGGGTCCACAGACGGCATAAATATCATTCACGTCCTCCAGAAATGTTCTTTAAATAGACGTAGAAGCATTGCCCTGGAAACCTGTTAGGTTGGGCTCTTGGGCCTTTGTATACCTCTGGTGAGACAAAGATCACTGGCCCAGAATTCTTACAGTACCTTTTAATGTAACCTAACGCATAGTTACCCACTAGTAGAATCTGGTAACTTCCGATGTTTCAGCATCAGAGAAGAAATTTCCAAGCGCTAACAAATTCTCTGTTGTGCACTGACATCAGGGTTCTGTAGAAAAGTGAAATTGCCAGTTATAAAGCAATGTGTAAGAAAAGCACAGATGGGAGAGAGCACAGAATAATAAGAGAATGCGGCATGGTGTGGTGTTTCTGTGGTACTTGCTCTGGGCCAGGCGTGTCTGTCTTACTAGGAGGTTGGTGGCAGTGGTGTCCATTTTACAGATAGATCCTGAGGAACAGGGAGGGTCAGGAACTTGCCCGTGGCTGCTTGAGTTGAGTTGCGGGTGTGAGTCCAGGCTGCGTGGCCCCAGCGCCTGTGCTCTGGCCCGTGTACCAGTGGGGTTGCTTCTGGCTTTGGCCTGGGGAAGCTGGGAGATGAGGAGCCTGGATTGAGGGCGTGTAACTGGTAGAAGGTGGACCGGAGGAGGTTGCTGTCCCTCCATGCCCGTGCGTTTGGCCTGGCCTGCCCACCCCAGGCCCTGCTCTGCAGAGGAGCAGAACACGGGGGTGTCCAGGCCAGGGTGTGGGAGAGGTGACAGAGTCCTACAGAGCACCGCAAGGGACGCTTCCCACTAAGGATGCAGCAGACTGCACTCAGCAAGCCCCGACACTGGAGTGCTTGGTTTGATCCCACAATCTGGCCTGGGTCTCCTTGGAAATCAGACCCTCTGCAGGCCCTGCCATCAGCATTTGGGGTCCTTCTCCTTGAATAGGCCAGCACCTCGTCACTTGCTCCCATCTCCGTGTGAAGGCCAAGTGTCGTCTGACCAGCATGTTCAGCTCTGGATTTGGTCCTGGGTGCGGTTGATGTGTCTCGAGCCCAGAGCACCTGCGTCTCTGAAAGGACTCACAGGAGCAGCCACCCCTCTGCTTCCTCAGGAGGTGTCCTGTCCTTGCACTTAAGTGAGAGGCTGGTCAGAAAGTTGTAAGATGTGTGCAAGTGCCACTGGTATTCCCCAAGAATTGTTTATAATTCCTACCCTTAAATGTGTTTTTTTCCACTTTACTGATTTGTTTCCATGTGAATCCAGGGTAAAAAATAATGGGATCAAACCAAATGGTATGGACTGTTAGGATGAGAGCTTTTAGTCTGTGTCCCAGGCCCCGGGGTTCCTGCCATGCAGGCAGCCCCACACCAAGGCTGTGGTGTAAATGACCATGGGCTTGAGATGTCAGGGAGGCAGCTGGAAGTACACTCAGGAACAAATGGGCTGTAACCGCTGCTTGTGCCATCCAGCCCTCCATCCTGGCGGCTTGACCAGGCCCATGCTGTTTCCTCCAGCACATCGTGGAGCCAAGGGAGAACTGGACCCCACTCCGTCCCTGGCGCATGCCCTGTGGCAGAGGACAGTCTACTTTTCAGGGTGCAGGTACCCTCCTTGCCCCTCCTTCTGTGTCTGCGCACTCAAGGTGCGCGCGCCCATGCCATTTTCCAGCAGCGACTTCTTCTGCTGGACAGGTATGGGTTGCTGCAGGCACCCCAGCCTCAAAGAGGACCCTGTAGCATGAGCAGAAAATCTAGTGAATGTTGAAACATTAAAATTTTGTTACAGCGAAGCAGACATTGCCACTGATCTGCCCAAATCCTTTCCCTCCTCAAACACACTGATCCCATCATTCTTGCCACTTTCTGCAGCAGCTGTCACGTCCTCTTCCCTCAGTGTCTTGAGTTGCGCTGTCATGGCTGCCTCGATGTCCTGAATCCATTCAGAACTCACCTTTAACTGTCATTTTGTCTTTGGGGAAGAGCCAGAAGTTGTACAGTAGTAGATCTGGTGATAAGGTGGATGAGGACACACCAACATGTTTTTATGAGCTGCCTTTCTGTTGGATGGCACTCAGAAGCAGCATTTACTATGATCACTTTGTAAAGACACCCAGGAAAGGAGACTTTGGAAGTGCTTCAGAAAGTGGCAAGAATGATGGGATCAGTGTGTTCAAAGTGGGAGGATTTTGAGGGAGATTCGTGGCTGTCTTTTACTGGAACGATTTTTAAAAATTATAAACATTAGTCACCATATTTTCCAGTTGTACGGAGTGCCCTGAGGCATGTTCAGAGGCTGCCCCTCCCAGCAGGTGCAGTTCGAAGGCAGCTGTCAGACCCGTCCTAGGCTCTCCAGGCCCTCTTGGTGTGAGCGTGGTGGGTGCGTGGGGCTGGCTGGGCGCCCCAGTGAATGGTGCTGTCTGTGTGCAGGGGAGGAGCACTACAACTGCATCTCCGCCCTGCACAAGGCCATGCGCGGCTCCGACCAGAACGCCTCCCTCTACTGGCTCGCACGCATGCTCGAGGGAGGAGAGGACCCGCTGTACGTGGCTCGGAGGCTGGTGAGGTTCGCCAGCGAGGACATCGGTGAGTGGCGGAGGCTCCCAGCACGTGGTCCGCTCGGTGCGGTTGATCGGGTGGAGGGAGTGAGCCCACTGCTGCCTGCAGTGTGTCTGGGACCATGTGGGACTTGGAGCACAGGCTTCCTGCAGGAGCTCAGGTGCCTGTTCTTGCCGTGTATGTGCTTTGGAGTGTGTTGTTTTCACAAAGTCTCCGTCTTCTGTTTTCTCTTCAGGACTGTTCTTGGGAACACAAGTGGCTGTTCATTCTTGACATAAAAGAAACATTTTCACTTTGTTTTGTAGCCAGGCACAGAGGCCTCAGCCAGCTCCTGGGGCAGAAGCAGAAGACTCTGGGCTCTGTTAAAAGACAAAGACCCAAAGCGCTTTGCTTTTCTTTGCTCTTTGTAATTCGTTTTGTTTTTAACTGTCCCTCCTTGTGAACGTCTTCATGGCCTTCGTGTCTTGTCTGTCTACATAGTTTCTCATTTCTCCTGCTAGATGTGAAGTTCTTATCCACAAGAAGGCAGCTCTCGGCACACACAGTAACCCGTAACTGCCTCTTGAATATGAGTACGGTCAGAGATGTCAGTCAGTGTCGCTGAGTGGGACTGTCAGTCACCACACCCGCGAGCAGTGATGGTCTCTGGTCTCAGCAGTGCACAGGCTGGGCGGGGCAGTGGCACGTGTTAGACTGACGCCTCGCTCTATCTCTGTGTACAGGCCTGGCCGACCCATCTGCACTGACACAAGCAGTTGCTGCCTACCAAGGCTGCCACTTTATCGGCATGCCAGAATGCGAGGTAAGGAGTAACGCAGTTCCTTGCACATCTGTTTTTTGCCTGGTGCCCGGTCCCTTTGTGGGTGTGAGTGCGTCCTGCCGTCTCTGTTGTACTGGGCCCACTGGGTGAGCTGCCCAGCATTTGCACAACCACCGTGTGGCATCTGAGACCCCTGCCTCAAGGGTGAGACGTAGGCGCCAACAAGGTCCTGTTTTCCGGCTGTCTGCAGGGCCCGGGCTCAGAGGGCCCTCCGGGGTTTCCCGGAAGGAGCCCGACAGCAAGCTTCTGCAGGCTCTCCCCACACACAGCAGCGTCCTACTCCTCTCTTTTATTTATTGAGAGGTTTAAGAACATTTTTATTTAGTAAAATGATCGTTGGTGTAAAAAAATGAGAACCACTAGTCTGCTCACCTCTCACTTGTGATTTCCACTCTGTGATGCCTGCTTATCTGGCCTAGGCAAAAAGGGCAGGTAAATCACGGAGGGAATCTTAAACTGACTAGAAGTATCAGCGTAGAGCGCCAAATAGAAACCTGTGGCACCCTCCTGGCGTGTAACATGTGTGCTTCTGTGACCCAGGTGCTTCTGGCCCAGTGTGTGGTCTACTTCGCCAGAGCCCCGAAGTCGATCGAGGTGTACAGCGCCTACAGCAACGTCAAAGCCTGCCTGCGGAGCCACCAGGGTCCCCTGCCCCCGGTGCCCCTGCACCTGAGGAACGCGCCCACCCGGCTGCTGAAGGACCTGGGCTATGGCAAGGGCTACAAGTACAACCCCATGTACAGCGAGCCCGTGGAGCAGGAGTACCTGCCCGAGGAGCTGAGAGGTGTCGACTTCTTCAAGCAGAGGCGGTGCTGACTCGGCGATGCCCGGAGAAGGGTGCTGCTTCCCAGGGGGGCCAGAGGGGAGAGCAGCGGGTGCAGCGGCTGCCTGCTGCAGGCCGAGACAGACCAGCGCTCTGTGCCAGAAGTCCACGTGCCCCGGGGGTGGAGGCGGTTCCTTCAGCTAAACGTGTCACATTGAAATTGTGTTCATTTGCACCTCGTGCAATGGTTATGCTTATGAAATATCTGGCAGCTTTGTGCAATGATTAATGTTATAAGGAATTATCTATTTTGTCATAGTATTTAAGTCATAATGTCATTTCAGAATTCAGTTAAGTAGGATTTTCTTTCTTTAAAAAATGTATATTCTGGGTAGTTTCAATTGGTAAAAAAATGTAATTGTGATTTAATACTGCATAGTGTTTTGGGTATTTTTTTTATATGCAAAGGTCTTATGAGCCAATAAAACTATTTCAAAGTACTCATCAGTTCTTTTAATGTTTTTCCTGCATGAGATGGGGACCAACATCTGTCCCCACTGTACTTCCGTAGCTAGAAACTGAAGGAGCAAGGGCACAGGTGAGAAGAATGAGGATCTTAGGGAGGGAGCATTACATGTTTTTGAAAACTAACTTTGGCATTTTTAAGGGTTGCATATTCGCCATTGTAAATAGCCTGTATGAAGCCAGGCCCTGGGTGCGTGCCTCTAATGAGGGGCTGAGGAGCATGAGTTTGAGGCCAGCTGAGGCAACAAGGTGAAACTCTTCTCAAAAAAAGAAATACAGGGGCCAGGGATTTAGCTCAGTGGTTCTGCCACCTGTCTCAAGCTCAAGGTCCTGAGTTCGATCCCCTGTACCAAAAAAAAAAAAAAAATACAAAGTAAATGGCCTTTGAGAGACTAGGGGTCCCTGGACCATTCCTCATTGCTTCCTTGAGTTCCTTCTTGCAGCCCTATGTTTCTAAACAAATCCTTGCATTTTGTTTCCTGAAATTGAATACGCCCTCTCTCTCAGCGTAGTGTCCAGGGGACTCGCTGCTAGTTTTCATCAGCCTTCCTAATCACCACTCTGCACACTTCCCACAAGTCGGTCACTCACCGGACACGCTCCCTCCCCGGGCTCACCTGGAACAGCTGCCAGTGCGACCTGAGACTTCTGCCCTTTTCCCCAGTGAGAATTACTGTTTTCTAGATGTGCTGCCCTGCTTGTGGTTTGTTTTGGTGCAGCATGCCTGGAGTCACCGGGCTTCAGGGAGCACCCTGAGGCCGTGGCCTGTGACACCGGACTGGCAGCGCACAGCTGCCCTTTGTGGCCACTCAGGATTTCCTCTGCTGTCACATCTGGGTTGCCGGACCCCATGCTTTTTCTTTCTTACCCAGGTGCACACACCCCTCAGCAGCTTCATGGGGTGAGGGTGCCTGGGAGGGGAGCTATCTGTAGACCCTGAGAGGCTGAGCATGCTTTTCCTCTTGGTTCACACTCGTCCAGCACAGAGATTACTTGTTCACTGGCTCCCAGTGTCCACCTTGCTGTCCCAAAGTTTGAAGACATTCTGCTCATGATCTTTGTAACCTTTGTGAACTTACAGATTTATCTTTCGGTTCTGGGCAAGTTTCCTGTTTTAATTCATTCAGTAAATGTTGAGGGCCTGCTTCAGGCTAAAAACCTGATGTTAGAAACACATCAGTGGGCAGAAAAACTGTTCATGAAATAGTACGAAAAAATAGTTTGTCAGGTAATGAGAAGTAGGATACTAATAAGAAAATAATGAGCCAAAGGATTGAGATAGCAGTGGTCGGCTTAGAGTAGCTAGAGTAGACTTCGAGGAGAAGACTGAGTCTTCAGACGCCTGGGAAAAGATCACGCCAGACAAGGGGCAGCAAGTGCCGAGGTCCTGAGGCAGGAAAGGAAAGAGGAGCCCAGGAGAGCTGGAGTGCGGGGGTAGATGCGGAGGCCAGGGTTGGTGGGGCCCAGGTCTCGAGGGGCCTTTTTGGTCCTGGCAAGGGCTTTGGCTTTAATCAGGGCTTCTGGGAAGGGAGTGTCACAATGAGACTTCAATTTTGTAAGGATCATTTCTGCTGCCATGTTGAGACTAGAAGATCAGGAGCGTCGGGTGGAAGAAGGGCAATTGGAATTTGCAGTATCGCGGGGGAGGGGACACCAGGTCAGGCCGGGGCGGTGTGGTGGAGACGGGTGAGAAGCAGTTTGGAGTGGGTGGTGGGTTCTGCACATATGTGGAAGAGGAGCTAGGGATGGCTGCCATTTACTGGGAAGGGAATGGCTGCTCACCTGGCCCTAAGCTCTGGCCTGGGCTGGTTATTCGAATTCTCAGTGACTTAATAAGCCAAGTACCTTTCTGCTCTCAAGACCAGGCGATGGAGCACAGAGCTGTAACGCCTCCCTCAGGGCCGCCCCGCTGACCCGGGGAGGCAGGGCCGACCGAGGCCGTCGGTGCAGGGACCCTGGCCCCAGCTGGCACCGGGCGCCTCTGCTCTCCCTGCCCTCCTGGATCTCCAGCTGCAGCTCTAGCTAGGGATGCGGACCGACCCCTAGCTGACCCTGGGGCGTGCTGCCGCTTTCCCTGCCCAGCCGTCTGTCTGTCTTCCTCTTCACTTCCCGGAGACGTCTCCAACTTGGTTACTTCTCCCTCCTTATAGCCCCCCTCCTTCCTGTTCCAAGGTTGCAAGAGCTTGCTTTTCACTTGGTGTTTCTTGTGGCCTGCTTTTCTCTTCCCTTTGTGGTATCCTGTATCTCTTTACTTGTTTGGCGACTACTTATCGCCCTGAGGATATTAATTAGAAGGAAATTTGCCCCTGCGTAACTCCTCCTCTGTTTCGGCCTCCAACCTCTGTATCGGCGAGGCCTCGCGTGGAGGCGGGACAGCGGGGCAGCGGACTGGAAGGTCTGCGCGTGCGCGGAGGGCGGGGCTCCCGGGGCCTTGCGGAGCCCTTGGCCGGGAGTCCTGGAGGTCGGTCCGAGGGCTCTCCGAGCTCCTGCGCGGCTGGAGCCCCAGAGAAACTGGTGCTGTAGAGCAGGGAAAGTGGCTCCCTGCGGTCTGGATGGCAGTCAGCGAAAGAGCAGCTGTCTTACCTCAGCGTGGGTCCTCTTGACTTTCTGGTTGTGAAATGCGCCCCACGCCCTCGGCACTATTTCCGGCCCCCCTGTTGGGAGATGCTCCAATGGCGGGAGTGAGAGAGGGTGGCAGGAGACCATTTCCCTGCGAGCCTCCGACCCGTGCTCTGCCCTCTCTCCTGCCCACGCATCTCCTGCGGGGCCTCCCACTGACAGGACCAACTGGAAGTTTCCCTGGTTAGGAAGCAGGGTGAGAAGGGTGGAGAAGCCCAACTGTGGACAGATCCCGAGCCAAGGGACACAGCTACTTATCTTAAGAAGAAATGGAATTCTTTCTGCAAGGGGCCGGTGATTTAGCTCAGTGGTTTCGCCGCCTGCTGCTCAAGCTCAAGGACCCAAGTTCTATCCCCGGTACCAAAAAAGAAAAAAATTCTGCAAGATTTCATACTTTGGAAACCGAAGAGAATAGTCGAACAACTAATAAAGAATGCAGTAGCGTGGCCAGATGTAAGCTGAATATACACATCAGTAAGCCTGGGACTACAGATTACACCCAGAAAACCTACCAAGAGAAATGCCCCATCCTCAGTAGCAGCCTAGAAATTACCTTTAGCGGAGAAGAGCAGGACTTAGGTGAACAAAACTACATTACTGAAACAAAAAACCTGAGACAAAATAGAAGGAAGCCATTTTCCTGAGCAGGTGCCACCTTAAATTGCTTAATGTTCGTGTCATGCTTGGTAAAATCTATTTTTACATCCCCATTATGTTTGGCATATACGACATGAAAAGTACATACTTGTTGAGTGACAAAATGAGCGAGTAAATAAACTTTCCTTGAGATGTTTATGTAGCTGTCTCAAAATAGAAATTAGTCCTTAAGGTCACTGGCAGCCTTCGGCCAGGAGAGATTGACTCTCGGGGTGCTGCTTGTTAGCCAGCTTCCCACCTGGAGCAGGTGACCACACTCAGGTCAAGACCGAGCTTCAGTCACTGTCATTAACCTGAAATACTGAGAACCAGCTTTCCAATAGAGCTTATTTGTCTGATCACAAAGCAGTATGTGATTGTTGCAAAAGGGCACAGAAGAGAATTCGGCGGGGGGGGGGGGGTATCCACACAGAGAAAAGGAAAACAACTTTACTATTTCCTCTTAGTGATAACCATTGTAAACAGCTTAGTGTGTGTCCTTTGGGTATTTTTCCAATGTGTGTGTGCAAGTGAAAATTGGAGATCTGCATCATCTGTTTCATAGCTTGCTTTTTCTCACCTGGTCACATGATTTTCCACACTGAGGTCGTCCCTTCCTGTGTGACTTTTAATGGCTGCTTGTGGAGCCACTAGGGGGCGACACAACTGATATTGTGCACAACCCCAGATGTGCCGTCACGCAGGCCGTGCGTGACGCGATGGAACTCTAGGACCTGGATTCGGAGAAATGAGGAGCTCACGTCACTCTCACTGCCCTCAGGCCCCATCCTCAGCTCTTCGGCCAACTATATGCCTGGTGAGGAGCCTGGGCCCAGAAGTGGGTCCGCTTGGGTTTGAATCCTATCTGGGCCATTTCTCTACTCTGTGACCTTGGTCATGATTATCGTCTTTGCTTCTCACCTTCCTCATCTGTAGAATGGGGATCAAAATATTTCTTAATGACAATGGAAAGTACACGATTTGAAATATGGCATTGCTTGGAATAATGCTTGGCACATAGACAGGGCTTGCCAAGAGCTGTCGCCATTACCTAATCTGATTTTAGCTCAAACACCACTTTCTTAGGGAAGTCTTTTCTGGCCCCTCAGCTTCCCCACCAGCCACGGGCTCAGCCCAGGATATGCTCAGCAGCTCCGGAGACATTTCACTCCTATCTCTGAGTCCCGATAATACCCAAGGCCTGCACGCTATGGGCTGGATGTTCCCCTGCACTTCCTCTGCAGGCCAGCCTACATCCTCTTTTATTTCCTTCTCTGAACAGTCAGGCTGACTGGGGGCTGCCTTGGAGACAACAGAGGGCCTCATTTTCCAAGAACACTCAATACTTAATTTTGGCTGCCATCAATAATTGCCAACCTACGCTACTGCCTGCTGTGTTCTGGGCACTATTCAAAACATTCTCCACATATGATCACAATTTCTAAACTGAGTGCAGAAACTAGAATTGCTGTCTTATATCTAAGGAGGACCTTGGGACTTGCATCAGTCAACTGACTTCCGGAGATCACAGAGTTAGGACTAAAACCCACAGAGCCTGGTCTGCCCAGCTCTCTTGCAGGGTCCTCAGACTTGTGTGCATTAGACTCACTGGAAGGCCTGGTAAACATCTCAGAATTTCTAATTCCTCCCATCTTCTAATAAGTTCTCCAACAAGGTTAATGCTGCTGCTCCACCCAGATCATGCTTTGAGAACACCGCA